CAAACTTGTAAGTACAGGGACCTAGGACACTGTTACAGGTTCATGCCAACAGGATCCGAGACCTTGAGCGCATGGGGTAAGTATGCACTTAAGTTCCTGAAGAAGGTGGGTGGGGAACTCATTAAGCAAACCACAGAACTAAAAGTTGCCAGATTCCCATTCCAGATAAAAAGAGGGGAAATTCATACTGTATCTTGGGCATGCACCCCACATCTACCGAGCTGGAAGAGGTTTTCGAACTGTGGTAGCTATGTACGTGTTTTCTGTAATCTGTAACAAAATGTAATAAAATAAAATAAACCACATTGTATAAAATAACAACAAAACTGGGGTGGGAGAAAATACTCAACAAGTGTTCAATGAGAATCTGCAGGGTCTCCTCTGAATACCTTTTATTCTCTTCGAGGCTATGGGTCCCCACAATTGCATATATTGCACCCAATAAATATTATTTATATATATATATATATATATATATATATATATATATATATATATATATATATATATATATATATATATATATATATATATATATATATATATATATATATATATATATATATATATATATATATATATATATATATATATATATATATATATATATATATATATATATATATATATATATATATATATATATATATATATATATATATATATATAAAATGCACAACTATATTCTACCCACTTCAAGACTCCGAACCAATATAGAAGCATCAAGAGGAAGTATGGGCCAATAGGCCCTCGGCAGTTACTTCCATTCTTATGTTCTCATATCCGTGTAATACCCATTGTTTCGTGTTTTGTCTTGTGTTTGTTACAAGTTTGTTCACCTCACCCAAAACTGATTATATATATATATATATATATATATATATATATATATATATATATATATATATATATATATATATATATATATATATATATATATATATATATATATATATATGGGGTGTGTGGTGTGTGGGTTCTCTTCTATTGTGGGGGCTTAGTAGCCTAGTTTGTAGAACTATAATTTTCTGCTTTTCTTGTCCTGGGTTTGAGGCTCCGATGGTCCAAGTGGATATCATATCAGACAGGTTTTTCTCTTGTAAATGTTAATCTTACGAGGAACAGCAGTATAAGAGCAAAGATGTAAATCAAAATTATTTGAAGCAAACGTTTCGCAGAATATACTCCATCATCAGTGGTAAAATAAGTCAATATAACCTAAATAAAATTATATACAGAGTAAAAAGCATAATTATATACAAATGTTGAAAACTAAAACAAGAAAAGATCCGGCAACATACAGCGTGAAGATGTGTTAAGAGTTACGGGGAAGACTCAGAAGCATGAAACTCCTGTCTCATTCTCGCCATTGAGATTAATTTGAAGATGTAGTGAGCTAGTCGAAACAGATCAGACATGAGAAGAGTGTCATCAGTGTGAGAGGTTACTGGCCCATTTGTTGACAGTGGTCCCTAGTAGCAGAGGACGCAACTGGCCTCAGGGGCAAACCTGTGCGGTAAAAGATACCCACATGCTCACACATACCCACATGCTCACACATACCCACATGCTCACACATACCCACATGCTCACACATACCCACATGCTCACACATACCCACATGCTCACACATACGCTGTTTAAGGTTTGGTGAGACATTTCCCATGTATCGAACGTTACACTCCCAACACTTAAACACAAACGCCACCACATCTGAGGTCAAAGGGTAAACAATATCTATGTTTTAACAAGTTATCAACAGTATAATTATTGGTATAAAACTGAAAAGTGATTTGTGGATAAGAATGTCTAAGAATATTACGAAGTTCCTGTCTATTTGTTAAAACTCACATGTTACCTTGAGTTCGTTGTGAGACTGTACCTTCGACCCGGTAGCCTCCTGGCTGGTAATCTGGTCAACCCAGGCTGTTATCGACACAACTACTCATACCCTGGCGTATGAATCACAGCCAGGTTGATCAGGCATTCTTTGTCAAGTTATCTCTGAACACTGAGAGGTTCGATAGTTATACCCTCTTTTAATATTACAGTAATGTGAATCTCTCGCCTGCGCTCTAAAGAATAAAGGTTTAAACATTTTAAGCAAGTTCTTTTTATCCAACCTGTCATTTTTCTTGCAATTGTGACAGATGTTTTATTATGTTATACAAGTTCCTTTTTCGTTGTATAGAGAGATTTGATTGCGTTTCACATATGGTTTCCACTTTTATATTTTGATTTTTTTTTCCATAGCGCAGCTGGAAATTACTTTTATTAAGCGTCATATTACTTTCGCTCATTTAAAGACTTAATTTACATCAGAGTGGAGGTTTGTTGTCCTCTATTTGGTCTGATCTCATAAAAATATTAGTGTCATCTGCATAGCATGACCTTGTGTCCTTGTCTATTCCGATATGAAGATGAGAAAAAGTATTGGAACACCGGAACTGAGCTTTTCACGGTGGATGATTAGGATTTTACTTTATTGACAATTACACATTGGGTTCCGTTCTTAAGAAAATAAAGATCCATCTTCCTACTTAATTCCTGTTGTACACATTTTGAATGCAATAACACCGCTGTCACTTGAAAGTGTTCTCAAAATCTGTGTATATTACATCAGCGCTTTGTCTTCCAAAGCAGCTAAGGCCATGTCATTACGGTCTAGCAATTATGAGAGGCAGGAGGGCCCTGTTCTCAAACTATGATGTATAGGGTTAGGAAGGGAAGGGAGGGAACTAGACAGACACTCATTCCATGTGTTTTGTCATCTGAATTTTTAGAACTTTTTGAATGATTCTTATGAGTCATATTTATGATATTTGTCTTACAATACAGTATTATTTTCGTTGTCACGTGGAGCTCAGTAGACGTGGAGCCCAGTAGACGTGAGCCAACTGGGCGTCAACAATGCAGTCGTTGACCGTCAGTGGAGTAAGTAGCTAGAGGAGGAGCGATCCTTGGCACAAACAATAACAAGACAACCACCATGACACGAGTCAATACTAACACAGGCGGGAGCGCAGTGCTCATATTTACTCATCGGTCCTTGTACAGAAGCGGCAAGGATATATATAGGCCAACACCCAGAGGTATATATACACCACCACAGCCCAAGTCCTACTACTTCTGCTGGAAGTTAAGGGAGTTGGCTGACTTCCCCAGCAGGGAGATATGGGAGGAGACGACCCCCTCAGCAGGGAGTTAAGGGAGCGTGACGACCCCCCTCAGCAGGGAGTTGAGGGAGGGAGACGACCCCCTCAGCAGGGAGTTAAGGGAGCGTGACGACCCCCCTCAGCAGGGAGTTAAGGGAGGGGGACGATCCCCTCAGCAGGGAGTTAAGGGAGCGTGACGACCCCCCTCAGCAGGGAGTTGAGGGAGGGGGGGACGACCCCCTCAGCAGGGAGTTAAGGGAGGGGGGACGACCCCCTCAGCAGCGAGATAATGGACGGGGACGACCCCCCTCATCAGCGAGATAAGGGAGGGGGACGACCTCCTCTGCAGGGAGTTAAGGGAGGGGGACGACCCTCTCAGCAGGGAGATAAGGGAGGGGGACGACCCCCTCAGCAGGGAGATAAGGGAGGGGGACGACTCCCTCAGCAGGAAGTTAAGGGAGGGGGACGACCCCCTTAGCAGGGAGGGGGACGACCCCCTCAGCAGGGAGGGGGACGACCCCCTCAGCAGGGAGGGGGACGACCCCCTCTGCAGGGAGGGGGACGACCTCCTCTGCAGGGAGTTAAGGGAGGGGGACGACCCTCTCAGCAGGGAGTTAAGGGAGGGGGGACGACCCCCTCAGCAGGGAGTTAAGGGAGGGGGGACGACTCCCTCAGCAGGGAGTTAAGGGAGGGGGGACGATCCCCTCAGCAGGGAGTTAAGGGAGGGGGACGACCCCCCTCAGCAGGGAGTTAAGGGAGGGGGGACGACCCCCCTCAGCAGGGAGTTAAGGGAGGGGGACGACTCCCTCAGCAGGGAGTTAAGGGAGGGGGGACGACCCCCCTCAGCAGGGAGTTAAGGGAGGGGGACGACCCCCTCAGCAGGGAGTTGAGGGGGACGACCCCCTCAGCAGGGAGTTGAGGGGGACGACCCCCTCAGCAGGGAGTTGAGGGGGACGACCCCCTCAGCAGGGAGTTAAGGGAGGGGGACGACCCCCTCAGCAGGGAGTTAAGGGAGGGGGGACGACTCCCTCAGCAGGGAGTTAAGAGAGGGGGGACGACTCCCTCAGCAGGGAGTTAAGGGAGGGGGACGACTCCCTCAGCAGGGAGTTAAGGGACGGGTTACGACCCCCTCAGCAGGGAGTTAAGGGACGGGTTACGACCCCCTCAGCAGGGAGTTAAGGGAGGGGGACGACCCCCTCAGCAGGGAGTTAAGGGAGGGGAAGACGACTCCCTCAGCAGGGAGTTAAGGGAGGGGGGACGACTCCCTCAGTAGGGAGTTAAGGGACGGGGACGACCCCCTCAGCAGGGAGTTAAGGGAGTGGGACGACCCCCTCAGCAGGGAGTGGGACGACCCCCTCAGCAGGGAGTTAAGGGAGTGGGACGACCCCCTCTGCAGGGAGTTAAGGGAGGGGGACGACTCCCTCAGCAGGGAGTTAAGGGAGGGGGACGACTCCCTCAGCAGGGAGTTAAGGGAGGGGGACGACTCCCTCAGCAGGGAGTTAAGGGAGGGGGACGACTCCCTCAGCAGGGAGTTAAGGGAGGGGGACGACTCCCTCAGCAGGGAGTTAAGGGAGGGGGACGACTCCCTGCTAGGGTTATGCCATCCTGGCGTCTACCAGCCAAGCTTTCTCTGCAATTTGAGAGGCAGCATCAGAGGCCGTGGCCCCTGCCTGACTGCCGGCCTCCGTCCTGCACTGTGACCCGCTGGTGACCCGCCTCACCTCTTCTCTCAGGAAACATCTGACACTCGCCACTCCGGCTAAACAAATTCCTCTTTCCCATGAATGGCAATGGAATTCTTCAATGAAGAAACAAAACTAAGTAAAATTTCGCTATCAGACTTACCTTCAGTAAAATGCCTCCGAGTAATCCAAAGTTAATTAATTTCCACAGAATCAAAACTGTCACATTTCACCATATATCCAAAAGAAAAAAAAGCAACGACACGACGCAACACACCCCTACGAGGCTCGCAACTCCACTGTGACCACATCTCTGCAATGGGCCAGACGGATTTCCGGGAAAAAGTGTTATATGTATAAACAGCTTCATTAAATTAAACTAGCTAATGCTCACTATTATCATCTGATATCTAAACAATGTATCCAAATGGTATTCGTGTAAAGAAAGTAAATAATAGAATAGTGAATAGAAGCAACGTTAAGCAATATTAGCGTAAAGTATCGTGCGGCCGCCAACGATGCTCGCAGGCTGCTGGGAGGCAGAGGTTACCAAGAAGGATTTTTGTCTTGGTTGTTTTTCACGAAGACTGAGCTTGAAATAATTTAGGAAACATCGTATTTTATTAATTTTCACTGATCCTATTAACAAGGAGGAAGCAAATTATAAAGCAGTATAATATCAAGACATTTAAAGAGGCGCCTTAATATTAGAAAAAGGGTAAACGCAAAGATTGATCTAGTATTTTGAGTCGCAGGTTTGGGAGGGTATGATGCTGTCATGTATCGTGTATGGTGCAGTGGTGTGTGGTGCTGTGGTGTGTGGAGGGCTGTGTGGTGCTGTGGTGTGTGGAGGGCTGTGTGGTATGTGGAGGGCTGTGTGGTGCTGTGTGTGTGCTGTGTGGTGCTGTGTGGTGCTGTGTGTGCTGTGTGGTGGAGGGCTGTGTGGTGCTGTGTGGTGCTGTGAGGGCTGTGTGGTGCTGTGTGGTGCTGTGTGGGGCTGTGTGGTGCTGTGTGGAGGTGCTGTGTGGTGCTGTGTGGGGCTGTGGAGGGCTGTGTGTGGTGCTGTGTGGGGCTGTGTGGTGCTGTGGTGTGTGCTGTGTGGTGCTGTGTGTGTGTGGAGGGCTGTGTGGTGCTGTGGGCTGTGGGGGCTGTGTGGTGTGGTGTGTGGTGGCTGTGTGGTGCTGTGGTGTGTGTGTGGGCTGTGTGGTGCTGTGGTGTGTGGCTGTGTGGTGCTGTGTGGGGCTGTGTGGGCTGTGTGGTGCTGTGGTGTGTGGCTGTGTGGAGGGCTGTGTGGTGTGTGGTGCTGTGTGGGGCTGTGTGGTGCTGTGGTGTGTGGAGGCTGTGTGGTGCTGTGTGTGTGTGGAGGGCTGTGTGGTGCTGTGTGGGGCTGTGTGGTGCTGTGTGGTGCTGTGTGGTGCTGTGTGGGGCTGTGTGGTGCTGTGTGGTGCTGTGTGAGGGAGGGCTGTGTGGTGCTGTGTGGTGCTGTGTGAGGCTGTGTGAGGGCTGTGTGGTGCTGTGGTGGGGCTGTGTGGTGCTGTGTGAGTGCTGGGTGAGGCTGTGTGGTGCTGGGTGAGGCTGTGTGGTGCTGGGTGAGGCTGTGTGGTGCTGGGTGAGGCTGTGTGGTGCTGGGTGAGGCTGTGTGGTGCTGTGTGGTGTGTGGAGGGCTGTGTGGTGCTGTGGTGTGTGGTGGGCTGTGTGGTGCTGTGGGTGCTGTGTGAGGGCTGTGTGGTGCTGTGTGGTGCTGTGTGGGGCTGTGTGGTGCTGTGTGGTGCTGTGTGTGCTGTGTGGGCTGTGTGGTGCTGTGTGGTGCTGTGAGGGCTGTGTGGTGCTGTGGTGTGTGTGGGCTGTGGGTGCTGTGTGTGTGCTGTGTGGTGCTGTGTGGTGCTGTGTGGTGCTGTGTGGTGTGTGGAGGGCTGTGTGGTGCTGTGGTGTGTGGAGGGCTGTGTGGTGCTGTGGTGTGTGTGGGGCTGTGTGGTGCTGGTGTGGGGCTGTGTGGGGCTGTGTGGTGCTGTGCTGTGTGTGTGTGTGAGGGCTGTGTGGTGCTGTGGTGTGTGTGGGGCTGTGTGGTGCTGTGGTGCTGTGGAGGGCTGTGTGGTGCTGTGTGGTGCTGTGTGGGCTGTGTGGTGCTGTGGTGTGTGGAGGGCTGTGTGGTGCTGTGGTGTGTGTGTGGGCTGTGTGGTGCTGTGGTGTGTGTGGGGCTGTGTGGTGCTGTGTGGTGTGTGTGAGGGCTGTGTGGTGCTGTGGTGCTGTGTGGTGCTGTGTGGGGCTGTGTGGGGCTGTGTGGTGCTGTGGTGTGTGTGAGGGCTGTGTGGTGCTGTGTGTGTGTGGAGGGCTGTGTGGTGCTGTGTGGTGCTGTGGAGGGCTGTGTGGTGCTGTGGTGTGTGGAGGGCTGTGTGGTGCTGTGGGTGCTGTGTGGGGCTGTGTGGGGCTGTGTGGTGCTGTGTGGTGTGTGTGGGGCTGTGTGGTGCTGTGTGGAGGCTGTGTGGTGCTGTGGGTGCTGTGGAGGGCTGTGTGGTGCTGTGGGTGTGTGGGCTGTGTGGTGCTGTGTGGTGCTGTGTGTGTGGAGGGCTGTGTGGTGCTGTGTGGTGCTGTGTGGGGCTGTGTGGTGCTGTGGTGTGTGGAGTGTGGTGCTGTGTGGGGCTGTGTGGTGCTGTGTGGTGCTGTGTGGTGTGTGTGGGGCTGTGTGGTGCTGTGTGGTGTGTGGAGGGCTGTGTGGTGCTGTGGTGTGTGTGGGGCTGTGTGGTGCTGTGTGTGCTGTGGAGGGCTGTGTGGTGCTGTGTGGTGCTGTGGTGCTGTGGTGTGTGGAGGGCTGTGTGGTGCTGTGTGGGTGTGTGGGGCTGTGTGGTGCTGTGTGGTGTGTGTGGAGGGCTGTGTGGTGCTGTGTGGTGCTGTGTGGGGCTGTGTGGGGCTGTGTGGTGCTGTGTGGTGCTGTGGTGTGTGGAGGGCTGTGTGGTGCTGTGGTGGCTGTGTGGGGCTGTGTGGTGCTGTGTGGTGCTGTGTGGGGCTGTGTGGTGCTGTGTGGGGCTGTGTGGTGCTGTGTGTGTGGTGTGTGGAGGGCTGTATGGTGCTGTGGTGTGTGGAGGGCTGTGTGGTGCTGTGGTGTGTGGAGGGCTGTATGGTGCTGTGGTGTGTGGAGGGCTGTGTGGTGCTGTGGTGTGTGGAGGGCTGTGTGGTGCTGTGGTGTGTGGAGGGCTGTATGGTGCTGTGGTGTGTGTGTGGGCTGTGTGGTGCTGTGGTGTGTGGAGGGCTGTATGGTGCTGTGGTGTGTGGAGGGCTGTATGGTGCTGTGGTGTGTGGAGAGGGGCTGTGTGGTGCTGTGGGTGTGTGGAGGGCTGTGTGGTGCTGTGGTGTGTGGAGGGCTGTGTGGTGCTGTGGTGTGTGGGGGGGCTGTATGGTGCTGTGGTGTGTGGAGGGTTGTGTGGTGCTGTGGTGTGTGGAGGGCTGTATGGTGCTGTGGTGTGTGGAGGGCTGTGTGGTGCTGTGGTGTGTGGAGGGTTGTGTGGTGCTGTGGTGTGTGGAGGGTTGTGTGGTGCTGTGGTGTGTGGAGGGCTGCATGGTGCTGTGGTGTGTGGAGGGTTGGTCCCTGGTTGGGGGAAGGGAACTATCAGGGGGAAAGAGCCAAGTCATTACGACTATATAGCGCTGTAAAGGGGTCAGGATAAGGATTTGGGATGGTACGGGGAAAGGAATGGTGCCCAACCACTTGGACGGTCGGGGATCGAACGTCGACCTGCATGAAGCGAGACCGTCGCTCTACGAAGATGGTTATGGCGGGTGGAGGTCCCTGTCTGGGGTGGTGGTGGGACTGGGGGTCTTGAGACTGGGTGAGTACAGCATGACTCACCAGCGTGGGTTATGAAGAGGACAGGGGGAGGGTCGGTGTGGGGGGGGGGTGAGGGGCAGGCACTGACTGGCACTCTGGCCGAAGTCCGCCACCAGCGATGTGTCAGGCACCGCCCCCCTCTGCCATTCATGCCGTGCAAGAGAACCTGGAAACTACATGTTTATAGTCAAATGTACCACTTTTCGCCGACATTTTCTTTAGAATGTTGCATGATTGCCCTTGATATATTGGTAGGAAAGGGGGAGGCACTATACTAGTGCCTTTGAGTGCTTCGCTCCATCCTACCCCTCTCCCCTTTACCCCCTCCCCTCGGTAACACCCTCCCTGCCGAATCCCTACACCACATTCTTACCCCCCCCCCCCAGCTTCCCCTGACCATGTGACACCCATCATCACCAGGCTGATCACCGCTTTTTTTTTTAATTTTTAAATTTTGCCCCGAGGGGCGAGTTTATTGGGCAGTGCCACTCATCGTGTGAGTGGACATACCGCCATAGCAGCATGTAACACGCTGTTGCACCGATGCGTTTCTCTCGCCCACAGTATAATGAACAAATGGAATTCATTGAAACGTGGAGTGGTGGAGATTAATTCAGAATGTAGGTATGACATAGCCCAATAGGCTCTGAAACCTATACACCAGTCGATTAAGGATTGAGAGGCGGACTGCAGAACTGCAGCTCATCCCAAAATACAGTTGCCCCCACACACCTCATTACCACATACTATACAACCATACAGTTCACTGCTCTTATGCTGACTTGTTTCTCTGCTACATCCACACCACAATCACCATGCCGTATACCATATTCTCACCATACTCTACACCCTGGGTGTGTAATGCACGAGGCACGAGAGGGAGAGGCTGCAACACAATCAATGGTCATCTTCAATCTTCTACGACCTGAGGGAGACACACACACCAAAGATCAAAGGAAGATAAGAAAGATATCACAAAAAATCTCACCAAAATGTAGGCTATTTGCCAAACCAGGGAAATAGAAAATTACCGAGGGCTTGGGAGGTTTCAAATGGGACGGAATCGACGAATAAAATAAATTTTTGAGAATAATACTCCGCAAAATATATACTGGCATAAAACATTTATATTGAATAAAAGAGGGCCTTACCATGAAGTACACATTCATTAGAGCATATTAAAGGAGCAAAGATAAGTAAGAAAACAATCCAAGGAGACCAGATAGCTCAAGCAGTTCACATAAACAGACAACCCAGGGAACTGAGAGCACAACAAAGCAAACTAGTGGACTTATCGAAGATGCACATACAAATGAACAGACAGACTAGCTCAATGTACATTCCTTTCCCTTTCAGGATTGATTTTGGAACAACCCCCATGCAAAATCAAAGTACAATAGAGATTTAGTAGTAATAAAGTTACATATATGCAGATGGAATTATTAATAAATAGATAAAATTACAAGAAAATGTGGCATAGAAACGTCCAAATATTATCTCAGTAACTGAAACAAAACTGAGTGTAGAGTTGGTGATCTTTCCAGGAGGTGACCAGGTAATAAAAGATTGACTGGTGAGGTGTAGCTCTAATGGTACAGCTGAACTGCAGTTTTAGTGAAATAAAAATATCACAGGCAACCAATCTGTAAAAGTATATAATAGAAATAGCAAGAGTGGGTGACACGAGGACAGTGATAGCAGTACTTACAACCCCCTCACTAAACACAAGAAGACCTACGGAGGAGTATGAACAATACCATGAGACCCACTTCAAGATAAAAGAAAAAGTAGCCAAGAGAAGCGAGGCTAAAATACTTGGGGATTTTAATCACATAGAAACAGATTGGATAACAAAGAACCTCCACGTGAGTGACATAGAAGGCAAAGCTGTTAGACACGATTGACAAAAATTTTACATCCTACAAAGTGTCTACACAAAATAACTAACAAGTTTAACAAGTAAAATAAATAACAAGTAAATCGAGCAAATTCAGCATATACTTAGAAAATTAATAATTATAAATATCAATCCAAGATAAATCAGTATCTAAAAGCTATTAAAACTATAAAATGCCATCCACACTTCCGCGGAAATCAACATTCCATTCACCTGGACTTTACCTTTTTAAAGACTACTCATAGCCCAGTTGATAGAGCTACGGTCTCACGCGTGGCGTCCACGGTTCAAGACCCTTACAGTCACCTTACATTGAGGTGTTTTCCGGTGCTTAGCGTCCCCGCGGCCCGGTCGTCGACCAGACCTCCTGGTTGCTGTACTGGTCAACCAGCCTGTTGGACGCGGCTGCTCGCAGCCTGACGTATGAGTCACAGCCTGGTTGATCATATATCCTTTGGAGGTGCTTGTCAAGTTCTCTCTTAAACACTGTGAGGGGGTCGGCCAGTCATGCCCCTTATGTGTAGTGGCAACGTGTTGAACAGCCTCGAGCCTCTGATGTTGATATAGTTCTCTCTCAGAGTACCTGTTGAACCTCTGATTTTCAACAGTTCAGGTGAAAGGAATATTAAAACTAAATATTTCAGTTTTTCATAAAATTAGTAACGTGAAAAATAACAACTATTCTATACATTATACGCGGTATATTACAGCGAGCATATTAAGGGTGCATGTACCCTTGAATATATTATTAAGGGTACTTGAATTAGCACCGAAAGTCAACTCAGGTTAAAGTAGCATTATTAAATGGGGTGACGTATTGTACAAGTGCTGCTGTTATGAAAAGCGTTGCACATGAGGCTATAGATTCTCGCCTGTTCATTTAGTAGCAAAATATTACCTGATTGCTCATACATTAATATACTTAATTTTGGTATAAATTCTACGTATGTGAACAGAACGTGGATCACGAATACGGCACCAGATTGTCCAGTGCTGATGTGAAGGAACTGATAGGCCAGTATTTCTCAGCCCATTGTCTTGACGGTTAAGTAGCCTATTGTTATGTCTAGTGCCGTCGTCCTCTAGATGTTGTACGTGTGGTAACTCTAAGAGACAAATGTTTTACATTGAAGATTATAAGTGTCGTTGTGTGGTAATTTTGCATAAAGTGGTCCATCTTCCGCTGTATAAACCGTCACGCTTGTAGAGTCTTAAGAAGCTTCATAAACACCTTAAGCTTTTATTTGCTTCCTTCGATGAGTTCCACTACTTAGTAAGGGCCTAGAAACTTGTGAGAACTTTGTACACACTACTGACCTATTCTGGTTAAGAACCATTACTAAACGTCCCACTTTAATCTTGCGTGTGCATTCCTTGTTCTAAACAATGGTGTTGTTTCTCTAGTGGCACGTGTCTCCGCTTTACTTACACATTGCTCTCACAATTATACACAGAAGAAGCAGGCGTGGCAACAAAGCATTTGGAAATGTGAGAATTTATAACACATTTAACTACCCTAGTATAGGCCCAACCACTTGGGCTGGACGGTAGAGCGACGGTCTCGCTTCATGTAGATCGGCGTTCAATCCCCGACCGTCCAAGTGGTTGGGCACCATTCTCTCCCCCTCGTCCCATCCCAAATCCTTATCCTGACCCCTTCCAAGTGCTATATAGTCGTAATGGCTCGGCGCTTTCTCCTGATAGTTCCCTCCTCTACTCTTGGAATAATTTCATCCCATTTACTACTGGTAGAGCGTAAAGTGATTCTTAATACATCTAGTTCTTTCCTATTACTTATTTATGCTAATACACAGCTAGCTCGGTGATATGCATTATATTACTGTAATCAGATCCCCTGTACTTTATATTAATATAATAATAGTAATAATTATTATTATTATTATTTATATAACACCACTCGCAAAACTACCCGATATGCAGTTATTGAACATGGCACATCTCCCGTGCCGGGTAAGTCCACTACGGGCTCACCATAGCCCATGCTACTTGCAACTGTTGTTCCCAGTTTTATCCTAAAACAACAACAGAAAGAAAATTGCACGGTTGTGTTGGCATAGTGATGGTTGTGGTGGTATAGTGATGATGGTTGTGGTGGTATTGTGATGATGGTTGTGGTGGTATAGTGATGATGGTTGTGGTGGTATTGTGATGATGGTTGTGGTGGTATAGTGATAATGGTTGTGGTGGTATTGTGATGATGGTTGTGGTGGTATAGTGATGATGGTTGTGGTGGTATTGTGATGATGCTTGTGGTGGTATAGTGATGATGGTTGTGGTGGTATAGTGGTAATGGTTGTGGTGGTATTGTGATGATGGTTGTGGTGGTATAGTGATGATGCTTGTGGTGGTATAGTGATGATGGTTGTGGTGGTATAGTGGTAATGGTTGTGGTGGTATTGTGATGATGGTTGTGGTGGTATAGTGATGATGGTTGTGGTGGTATAGTGATGATGGTTGTGGTGGTATAGTGATGATGGTTGTGGTGGTATTGTGATGATGGTTGTGGTGGTATAGTGGTTGTAGTGGTATAGTGGTTGTGGTTGTGGTGATATATTGATCGTGGTTGTGGTGCTACAGTGGTTATGGTAGTACTTATATATCAATACTTCTACTACTTACCTAACAATGTCTATACGAGGGAGTGAGGTGTAGCTCTTGATGCCCCGCCCACCAGCCTTGTGATAGTATAGTGATGCTAATATGGTGGTGATGGTAGTGACAGTATAGTGATGATGGTGATGGCATAGTGGTGACGCTTGGTCTCCGTGGAGCCGGCTGCGTTGGCTCCCAAGTTCCGGGAATAGGATCAATGAGCATCTGCCTGCTTATGGTGCAGCTCCCTCTGGTCTCTGGCACCGGGTCTCTGGCACCGGGTCGCTGGCACCGGGTCTCTGGCCCCGGGTCTCTGGCACCGGGTCTCTGGCACCGGGTCTCTGGCACCGGGTCTCTGGCCCCGGGTCTCTGGCCCCGGGTCTCTGGCCCCGGGTCTCTGGCCCCGGGTCTCTGGCACCGGGTCTCTGGCCCCGGGTCTCTGGCACCGGGTCTCTGGCCCCGGGTCTCTGGCACCGGGTCTCTGGCACCGGGTCTCTGGCACCGGGTCGCTGGCACCGGGTCTCTGGCCCCGGGTCTCTGGCACCGGGTCTCTGGCCCCGGGTCTCTGGCCCCGGGTCTCTGGCCCTGGGTCTCTGGCACCGGGTCTCTGGCCCCGGGTCTCTGGCACCGGGTCTCTGGACCCGGGTCTCTGGCAGCGGGTCTCTGGACCCGGGTCTCTGGCACCGGGTCTCTGGCCCCGGGTCTCTGGCACCGGGTCGCTGGCCCCGGGTCTCTGGCACCGGGTCTCTGGCCCTGGGTCTCTGGCACCGGGTCTCTGGCACCGGGTCGCTGGCACCGGGTCTCTGGACCCGGGTCTCTGGCACCGGGTCTCGGGCACCGGGTCTCTGGTCCCGGGTCTCTGGCACCGGGTCTCTGGCACCGGGTCTCTGGTCCCGGGTCTCTGGCCCCGGGTCGCTGGCACCGGGTCTCTGGACCCGGGTCTCTGGCACCGGGTCTCTGGCACCGGGTCTCTGGCACCGGGTCGCTGGCACCGGGTCTCTGGCACCGGGTCTCGGGCACCGGGTCTCTGGTCCCGGGTCTCTGGCCCCGGGTCTCTGGCACCGGGTCTCTGGTCCCGGGTCTCTGGCCCCGGGTCGCTGGCACCGGGTCTCTGGCACCGGGTCTCTGGCACCGGGTCGCTGGCACCGGGTCTCTGGCACCGGGTCTCGGGCACCGGGTCTCTGGACCCGGGTCTCTGGCACCGGGTCTCTGGACCCGGGTTTCTAGCCCCGGGTCTCTGGCACCGGGTCTCTGCCCCCGGGTCTCTGGCACCGGGTCTCTGCCCCCGGGTCTCTGGCACCGGGTCTCTGCCCCCGGGTCTCTGGCACCGGGTCTCTGCCCCCGGGTCGCTGGCACTCTGCAGTCTCCGGTATCCTCGGAACATCCAGGCGTCGTTATATAAACGCCGAGAACCGTTGCCAGAACTCTTCAGCAGGAAGTAATTACCACCAGAACTCACCAGGCCAAGAAAGAAGAGAATAATGGGACGGTTCAAGGACAAAATCCCTAGAATGATGTCAGTTGTCTTACAGCACTGTGAGTCTCACACTCAGCCGGGATTACAGCCGGGATCACACTTACAGCGCTCGGGATTCGTAATCCCAGGGTCCGGGGATCGATCCCCGGCGATAGCGGAACAAATGGGAAGATTTTCTTTCATCCGATGCATCTGTTCACCTAGCATTAAATAGGTACCTGGGAGTTAGACAGCTGCTACAGGCTGCTTCCTGGGATGTGTGTGGTGTGGCGAGATTCAATAATAGAGCAGTGACTATTCTGGCTGGTCTTGTGCCAATCGCACATTAATAAAAAAAAGTAAAACAAAGAACAATAACTGCTTGTGTTGTCTACGGTGTGAGAGCTGAGGGTAAAAAACAAAAAAGAAAAATTTTTAACATTTAATATAACAAAAATAACTTTAATAATACAAAAAATAATAAATAATAATGAAAAACAAGACCCCTAAACATTTGGCTTTACACAAGATCAAAAAGAAATATAAATACAGGTGAGTTTTTGCGTTAATTAAAAAAAGGGGCGCAAATGACATTATACAAAAGCTGTCCGCGTCCATTGTCTCCTGGGGAGGCGAGAGTAGGTGTTACAGCTGAGAGCACGAAGTGTGTTCTGATGACTGGACGCCGGCGAGCTGTATATATATGGGTGAATGATGTCAGAGATGACGCGAATCTTGTAGGTAACCATCGACCAGCAGTTAAACAAGCAGTTAGTGAGTGGCGTCTGCGCCCCTGCCCAGACAGCAGGTGTCCAGGTGTCTCGGGTACTGTTATAAGGTGGAGAGAGGAGGAGGAGGTCTGTCTAGACACCCAATACGTTTGAGCACGTACTGTTGTCGTTGTTGAAGCATGCAGATACGTTGGTGAATAGGAGGTAGACGGAACAGGCAGGATCTACTGCCTAAGCGGTAGAGTACCGTAACAGCGAAAAAAAAAGTTGATTGACAGTTGAGAGGCGGGCCGAAAGAGGCAGAGCTCAATCCCCGCAAGCACAACTAGGTGAATATACAACACAGATGGATCACTTGCAAGCTTTACTGCAACGTTTGTAGTAAAGCACCCGGTGGCAATATGCTCCGGAGCACCAACGTTGTTGAATAAATGCAAATTTAAAATGCGAGGTTCGTCATGTATGTAACAGTATGATTTTACCTCTGACCACCCGTACTGGAATGCACTGAAAGAAGAAGTTGTGGAAGCCACCTCCATCAACAACTTTAAGTACAGATTCGATGATAAGGCATTCAGACGCCAGAAGAGTTAAATCAGTGGTTCTCAAACTTTTCCTCTGGGCTGCGCTTTCAGAATAAAAATTTGACGGCGACACACCGGTTTTTTTTATTGATAAGAAACGCATAAAAAAAATCCCTTTACTGTTTGATTCACAACAAAGAACACCACTACTCTACAATATGCTCATGGGACCTCCAGAGAGTATTAAACAATGCAGCTACATAGCCACATGATTCATTCCCAAAATATACTTACAGTCGAGCCTCTTCCATACATAAAGTTCAATATTATACAAACTCAATGAGAGGCAGGAGATGGTTTTTGTCGGGTAATCACATTGATATTTGAGCTCATTTGAAACAAACTTCCATCTCCTCACCGACCCATAGAAGAATTTCTCCTTTTCTAGTATGTGATAAGTGAAAATCCCTTTCAGAACAATGTCTCTGATTGTCCTTGAACCTTCCAGTCACACTCTTGCCGGCCCCTCTGGTCGCACCAGTGTGGCCCACACCACCCACTGGCCGCACCAGTGTGGCCCACACCACCCTCTGGCCGCACCAGTGTGGCCCACACTACCCTCTGGCCGCACCAGTGTGGCCCACACCACCCACTGGCCGCACCAGTGTGGCCCACACCACCCTCTGGCCGCACCAGTGTGGCCCACACTACCCTCTGCAAAATGTACAGTTGAATTATAACACAACTGGTGCAAGAAGGATAGTAGGCAGGGCATAATTAAGAGTACTAGACACATGGCACCAATCCCGGACGGGGCAGAAAAGGTTGGACGAGTCTCCTATCACCTAATGCCCCTGTCCACCCAGCAGTAAATAGGTATCCAGGAATTAGTCAGCTTGTTGTGGGGTTACATCGTGGGGAGGGTCAGTAATTCACCCCTGGAGAGATATAAGATATAACTAGACATAAGCCAAGCATGTATGTATAAACTATGTATACTCTATGTATAAACTGCCTTCCTTATACCCACACAATCAATTATTATCATTAATTATAAACAGTTAGACCTCACTACCCTGTATTCTCAGATAGGTAAGTACAGGCAGGTAAATGAGGGGAGAGAAGGTCGGTGGTGACCAGTGAGGGGAGAGAAGGTCGGTGGTGATCAGTGAGGGGAGAGAAGGTCGGTGGTGATCAGTGAGGGGAGAGAAGGTCGATGGTGATCAGTGAGGGGAGAGAAGGTCGGTGGTGATCAGTGAGGGGAGAGAAGGTCGGTGGTGATCAGTGAGGGGAGAGAAGGTCGGTGGTGATCAGTGAGGGGAGAGAAGGTCGGTGGTGATCAGTGAGGGGAGAGAAGGTCGGTGGTGATCAGTGAGGGGAGAGAAGGTCGGCGGTGATCAATGAGGGGAGAGAAGGTCGGTGGTGATCAGTGAGGGGAGAGAAGGTCGGTGGTGATCAGTGAGGGGAGAGAAGGTCGGTGGTGATCAGTGAGGGGAGAGAAGGTCGGTGAAGCAAGGATCGTCTCCCCTCGATGAGTCATCGCGAGGGAGTTGCTAGATACTGCAGGACACACGTTACTGGCCACTCTCACCCCTGGCCACACTCTCACCCCTGGCCACACCCTCACCCCGGGCCACACTCTCACCCCTGGCCACACTCTCACCCCTGGCCACACCCTCACCCCTGGCCACACTCTCACCCCTGGCCACACTCTCACCCCTGGCCACACTCTCACCCCTGGCCACACTCTCACCCCTGGCCACACTCTCACCCCTGGCCACACTCTCACCCCTGGCCACACTCTCACCCCGGGCCACACTCTCACCCCTGGCCACACTCTCACCCCTGGCCACTCACTCACCCCTGGCCACACTCTCACCCCTGGTCACACTTTCACCCCTGGCCACACTCTCACCCCTGGCCACACTCTCACCCCTGGCCACACTCTCACCCCTGGCCACACTCTCACCCCTGGTCACACTTTCACCCCTGGCCACACTCTCACCCCTGGCCAAACTCTCACCCCTGGCCACACCCTCAACCTCGAACTAAACTTGAAGTGACAGGCCCAGGCCGGCGACAATCAGGCCCGGGGGACGACAATCACGGGTAGGGAGCGATAATCAGGCCCAGTGGGGCGACAATCAAGGGTAGGGAGCGATAATCAGGCTCAGTGGGGTGACAAAAATCACGGGTAGGAAGCGATAATCAGGCCCGGGTGACGAAAATCACGGGTAGGGAGCGATAATCAGGCCCAGTGGGGCGACAATCAAGGGTAGGGAGCGATAATCAGGCCCAGTGGGGCGACAATCAAGGGTAGGGAGCGATAATCAGGCCCAGGGGACGACAATCACGGGTAGGGAGCAATAATCAGGCTCAGTGGGGTGACAATCACGGGTAGGAAGCGATAATCAGGCCCGGGGGACGACAATCAAGGGTAGGGAGCGATAATCAGGCTCAGTGGGGTGACAAAAATCACGGGTAGGAAGCGATAATCAGGCCCGGGTGACGAAAATCACGGGTAGGGAGCAATAATCAGGCCCAGTGGGGCGACAATCAAGGGTAGGGAGCGATAATCAGGCCCGGGTGACAAAAATCACGGGTAGGAAGCGATAATCAGGCCCGGGTGACGAAAATCACGGGTAGGGAGCAATAATCAGGCTCAGTGGGGTGACAATCACGGGTAGGGAGCGATAATCAGGCTCAGTGGGGTGACAATCACGGGTAGGGAGCGATAATCAGGCCCGGGGGACGACAATCACGAGTAGGGAGCGATAATCAGGCCCAGTGGAACGACAATCACGGGCAGGGAGCAATAATCAGGCTCAGTGGGGTGACAAAAATCACGGGTAGGAAGCGATAATCAGGCCCGGGTGACGAAAATCACGGGTAGGAAGCGATAATCAGGCCCGGGGGACGACAATCACGGGTAGGGAGCGATAATCAGGCCCGGGGGACGACAATCAGGCCCCGGGGGTTGTAGTCAAGTTCGCGAGATGACAGTCACTTTCAAGAGGTAATGTCAGGTTCAAGAGGTGTCAGTACTTACCTGACAGTCTGAGAATGGAGAACCGAGCACCAGCTCCTGTACCGAGTTTCTAACTGTCGGTCGGATAGCGCAATGACCCCTTTGTTTCCTGTCTCCTTCTTTGTTATTATGAGTGGTGATCTCCCTTATTTTTTGTCTTTCTTTCTGTGCCAATAAGTCTACTGCCGTTAACCACGGGCTCACCATAGCCCGTCCTACTTGGAACATTTTGTTCCAGGTAGCGAATCTTAAACAACAACAACAACATGCCGTTAATCTATCCTGGAATTAGCCGTATTGCAAACCGCTTCACTTTCTCAAGTTGAGTAGCCAGTTGTCCTAGCAGATCTTACTCAGGCTCTCCTGGAGCATGCTCCTGTCCTTAGTCGTATCCATTACCTTTACATCGTCAACATTGACACAAAAAAATATATTTTAACAGAAATGCCATTTGCAAATGCAAATAATATCATGGGTACCACCACTGACCCTCGCGGGACTCTGGTATACCCCCACCCCGATTCGGATAGTTCCCTTCTACTGTTACTCTTCTTAGTACGATACTTTTTCCACCTAAATGAACAAAATGTACTACGGCGTAGTTCCCTAGCGTGCACAGGAGCTTCTTATGTTGGACAATGGTAAATTTTCTGACACCCTGCAGTAAGTTGCAATTTTTCCTCCCGTAAGCTTTCTTATCAGATACAAGAGAAGGCAGCCAGGCCCAAGAGATTAAAATCTGGACCCTCAGCTGAGTCCGGTGCCATGGGGATGAATATCAGCTCCAGGAGTTTAGAAAGAATCAGGAATTGACTCAGGTCCAGAAGGGGAGTCAGGTCCAGAAGGGAAGTCATGTCCCCATGAGGTAGCAGTTAGGTCCAAGAGTTCAGTTTCAAAATGCGTGAGTCTGCTCAAAGCCATGTCTAGGAGGTGAGTCAGTTCAAACTCATTTTTAGAATGCAAGTCAGTTCAAATTCATATATATGGTCTTGTCAATGAGGTGAGTCAGCTTCCTATGGAGCCAGGTCCAATTAAGATGTACAAGTCGGGTTTGGAGGTGAGTTAGGACCACGATGGTTGGGTCAGGTGTAGGAGGTGAGAATAAAGTCCAAAATGTATATCAGGCCTTAGAGGTGAGTCAGATCCAGGTCCGAGATATGTGAGCCAGATCTTGGTTTAGGATTTATGAAACAGGTCCAGGAAGTGAGAGTCAGGTCTAGGAGGTATGAGGTAGGTCCAGGAGATGAGCCAGGTCAAAATGTCCGAGTTAGGTCTGTATGTATGTATGAATCATGTTCGATATGTGTCAAGTCCATGTATGTGAGAGTCAAGTCCGATATGTGTGATCCAGGTCCAAATATGCGTGAGTTAGGTCCATATATGAATCAACTACAATTAATGTGTGACCCGAGTCCAATATGCAAGCCAGATCCAGGTGATGTAATATCCAGATGAGTCAAGAATGAAGAGAGATTCATGTCGAAGATTAGGAGGTTAGAGTCGGGTCCATAAGGTAGGAGTCAGGTCCACGAGGTAAGAGTCATGTCTAGAAGGAGAGCGTCGGGTCCAGAAGGTAAGAGTCAGGTACATGAGGTGAGATTCAGGTCTGTAAAGAAAGAGTCAGGTACATGAAGTAAGAGTAATGTCCAGAAGGGGAGCGTCGGGTCCAGAAGGTAAGAGTCAAGGAACATGAGGTGAGAGTCAGGTCCATACGGTAAGAGTCAGGTACATGAGATGAGAGTCAGGTCCACAAGGTATGAGTCAGGTACATGAGGTAAGAGTAATGTCCAGAAGGTGAGAGTCGGGTCCAGAAGGTAAGAGTCAGGTCCAAGAGGTGACAGATGACGAGGAAGACCTGACTTGCCCCACGGTCAGCCAGTGACGTCACTCTCAAAACATCTCGCGGGATCTCGCATTACGCGAGATATTTACTTTGTCCGATAGTTATGACGAGGATATGTTCGGTCACATCAATTTTTACTTCACGAATTACAGACCCATGAAACGTAGCTGAGATCCTTTAAAACTATAAAATAGTGTATTTTTAAATAAAAATACTAATAAATATATTGTATTTAAGATGAGTGAGAGTTGTTAAGAGAGGTAAGGAAAAGTGCGGGCAAGGACACGAACGTGGGTCTCAGTGGGTTACAATGGCACAATGGCTTCCCGGAGGTCTGCTTTAGCCTCGCAGAATGAAATAGCCGGGAACGACCCTCTCCGGGAGCTGTTTGAGGCCTGCAGGAACGGAGACTTGGTGCGTGTGAAGAAGCTAGTGACGCCACAGAACGTAAACGCCAGAGACACAGCAGGACGCAAGTCTTCCCCACTACACTTTGCAGCAGGTCAGCCCTCAACCCTTCCCCCCCCCCCACTACAATTGACAGCTCCCACTCCTTTCCCCACTATCCTCGACAGCTCTCATATCTTCCTCACTTCACTTGACAGATCCCACACCTTTCTCACTAAACTTAACAGATCTCCCACATTCTCTACTACATTTGACAGTTCCCACACCTTCCCCACTGTACTTGACAGTTCCCACACCTTCCCCACTATACTTGACAGATCCCACCCCATATCTATTGTACTTGACAGCTCCTACCCCATCCCACTGCACTTGACAGTTCCCACTCTTTCCCTGCTGCACCTGACAGCTCCCAACCCTTCCCAGCAGCACCTGACAGCTACCACCCCTTCCCTGCTGCACCTGACAGCTCCCAACCCTTCCCCGCTGCACCTGACAGCTCCCAACCCTTCCCCGCTGCACCTGACAGCTCCCAACCCTTCCCCGCTGCACCTGACAGCTCCCAACCCTTCCCCGCTGCACCTGACAGCTCCCAACCCTTCCCCGCTGCACCTGACAGCTCCCAACCCTTCCCCGCTGCACCTGACAGCTCCCAACCCTTCCCCGCCGCACCTGACAGCTCCCAACCCTTCCCCGCCGCACCTGACAGCTCCCAACCCTTCCCCGCCGCACCTGACAGCTCCCAACCCTTCCCCGCCGCACCTGACAGCTCCCCACCCTTCCCCGCCGCACCTGACAGCTCCCCACCCTTCCCCGCCGCACCTGACAGCTCCCCACCCTTCCCCGCCGCACCTGACAGCTCCCCACCCTTCCCCGCCGCACCTGACAGCTCCCCACCCTTCCCCGCCGCACCTGACAGCTCCCCACCCTTCCCCGCCGCACCTGACAGCTCCCCACCCTTCCCCGCCGCACCTGACAGCTCCCCACCCTTCCCCGCCGCACCTGACAGCTCCCCACCCTTCCCCGCCGCACCTGACAGCTCCCAACCCTTCCCCGCCGCACCTGACAGCTCCCCACCCTTCCCCGCCGCACCGGACAGCTCCCCACCCTTCCCCGCCGCACCGGACAGCTCCCCACCCTTCCCCGCCGCACCGGACAGCTCCCCACCCTTCCCCGCCGCACCGGACAGCTCCCCACCCTTCCCCGCCGCACCGGACAGCTCCCCACCCTTCCCCGCCGCACCGGACAGCTCCCCACCCTTCCCCGCCGCACCGGACAGCTCCCCACCCTTCCCCGCCGCACCGGACAGCTCCCCACCCTTCCCCGCCGCACCGGACAGCTCCCCACCCTTCCCCGCCGCACCGGACAGCTCCCCACCCTTCCCCGCCGCACCGGACAGCTCCCCACCCTTCCCCGCCGCACCGGACAGCTCCCCACCCTTCCCCGCCGCACCGGACAGCTCCCCACCCTTCCCCGCCGCACCGGACAGCTCCCCACCCATCCCCCGCCGCACCCTTCCCCGCCGCACCGACAGCTCCCCACCCTTCCCCGCCGCACCGGACAGCTCCCCACCCTTCCCCGCCGCACCGGACAGCTCCCCACCCTTCCCCGCCGCACCGGACAGCTCCCCACCCTTCCCCGCCGCACCGGACAGCTCCCCACCCTTCCCCGCCGCACCGGACAGCTCCCCACCCTTCCCCGCCGCACCGGACAGCTCCCCACCCTTCCCCGCCGCACCGGACAGCTCCCCACCCTTCCCCGCCGCACCGGACAGCTCCCCACCCTTCCCCGCCGCACCGGACAGCTCCCCACCCTTCCCCGCCGCACCGGACAGCTCCCCACCCTTCCCCGCCGCACCGGACAGCTCCCCACCCTTCCCCGCCGCACCGGACAGCTCCCCACCCTTCCCCGCCGCACCGGACAGCTCCCCACCCTTCCCCGCCGCACCGGACAGCTCCCCACCCTTCCCCGCCGCACCGGACAGCTCCCCACCCTTCCCCGCCGCACCGGACAGCTCCCCACCCTTCCCCGCCGCACCGGACAGCTCCCCACCCTTCCCCGCCGCACCGGACAGCTCCCCACCCTTCCCCGCCGCACCGGACAGCTCCCCACCCTTCCCCGCCGCACCGGACAGCTCCCCACCCTTCCCCGCCGCACCGGACAGCTCCCCACCCTTCCCCGCCGCACCGGACAGCTCCCCACCCTTCCCCGCCGCACCGGACAGCTCCCCACCCTTCCCCGCCGCACCGGACAGCTCCCCACCCTTCCCCGCCGCACCGGACAGCTCCCCACCCTTCCCCGCCGCACCGGACAGCTCCCCACCCTTCCCCGCCGCACCGGACAGCTCCCCACCCTTCCCCGCCGCACCGGACAGCTCCCCACCCTTCCCCGCCGCACCGGACAGCTCCCCACCCTTCCCCGCCGCACCGGACAGCTCCCCACCCTTCCCCGCCGCACCGGACAGCTCCCCACCCTTCCCCGCCGCACCGGACAGCTCCCCACCCTTCCCCGCCGCACCGGACAGCTCCCCACCCTTCCCCGCCGCACCGGACAGCTCCCCACCCTTCCCCGCCGCACCGGACAGCTCCCCACCCTTCCCCGCCGCACCGGACAGCTCCCCACCCTTCCCCGCCGCACCGGACAGCTCCCCACCCTTCCCCGCCGCACCGGACAGCTCCCCACCCTTCCCCGCCGCACCGGACAGCTCCCCACCCTTCCCCGCCGCACCGGACAGCTCCCCACCCTTCCCCGCCGCACCGGACAGCTCCCCACCCTTCCCCGCCGCACCGGACAGCTCCCCACCCTTCCCCGCCGCACCGGACAGCTCCCCACCCTTCCCCGCCGCACCGGACAGCTCCCCACCCTTCCCCGCCGCACCGGACAGCTCCCCACCCTTCCCCGCCGCACCGGACAGCTCCCCACCCTTCCCCGCCGCACCGGACAGCTCCCCACCCTTCCCCGCCGCACCGGACAGCTCCCCACCCTTCCCCGCCGCACCGGACAGCTCCCCACCCTTCGCACACCTGCTATCCTACACCCGACAGATGGTGTAATTCCATGTCTTATTTTAGTGACCCCTGTCTTAGAATTTGAATAAATTTGCTAAGCATAAATTTCCCTTTCTGAAGCCATGTTGTACTTTTTTTTCAAAATTGACTCGATCCAAATATTCTACAGATCATTTCTTGATGACTTTTTCCAGCATTTTATACGGAATATATATATTAGTGACACTGGTCTATAGCTTATTGATTCATGTCTTTCCCTCTTTCTTGAATATTAGAACTACATATGCTTTTCTAGATTCCCAATAGTTGTTCCACTGGAGAACTATTGGAAATTTTCACATGCTGAGGCTGTAAAATTTTCTTTAAATTCATGATATATAAGTATAGTGGCTTGTTAATTCTTTTATATTGTAGGCATGTTATTGATTTTCTACATAAAATTAATTTATTTGATTGCTTCTGTCTCTTATAATGTACAGTATTTCATAATGTTTGGAAATTGTAAGTACAGTAATTATTTTTCAATTTAGTCCACTTATTTGCCATGTTTTATTATACAGTATATAATCTTTATTGTTATTTTTACTACTGTTGCAATTGCTACTAGTGTTTTATTAATACTGTATATATCACAGCTTAAACTGTAAGCTAAATGTATTATAATGTCTTAATAGTTTAGTTAGGTTTACACTGCTGTATTCCATTACAGGCAGCATTGTAAAAATTTGCACCGACTGTTATAAATAAAGCTTCTGAATCTAATTCTTGTGGTGGTTGGGCGCATGAGGGTTAGAATAGTTACTCAACAACGATTCTTTGCCTTAGTTACCATGGGGTACCTCACATTTGAGGGGTACCTCACATTTACTTCAAACAGTTTTAGATTTTTTGGCTTGTGCTTTCTGGCTTTTTTTTCTCAGGATTTTGAAGTTGATCTCTGATTCCCTAACCCCCCCCCCCCCTCACCTTGTAGAGTGAGCCAGATTCTGGTCTAATCTCCCGGATTAGCTCAAGCTACTCAAGAAGCTACTGTGCGACCACCAGGAAAGGCATTTCATTACATTGAATGCTTTTGATGACTTTATTTTTACTATACCTATATATTGATGGCTTAAAAATGTGTTGTTTTTGTCTTTTTAACTATTCATTTATTTTTTTATATTTTCTCATAGCTTATATGGAAAGACTGCTGCTTTTTCTTATTAGAAATGTAAGAAATTATTTTAGAAAATGGCAAATAGGAAATCTAAATTAAAAACAATAAAAATTTATAACAAAATTCCTTTGGTAATTAGGCTTATTGGTAATTAGGCTACATTCTCCAAATTAGCAAAGGGTTGACCAGACGAGAGTCACTAATGCCTTTGAAATTATGCCTGGCACATTATTTTTGTATTTGATGTGTAGTTGTAGCTAATACTAACCACCACTTTTTTGTTTGTTTTTTATTATATAAACATTACAACATAAATATATTTCTTGTCTTCAGGTTTTGGCCGAAGAGATGTTGTGGAGCACCTATTGAATCTTGGGGCTGCTGTGGGGGCTCGTGATGATGGTGGGTTAATACCACTTCACAATGCTTGTTCATTTGGTCATGCAGAAGTAGTTTCCCTTCTCCTCAAGCATGGAGCTGACCCAAATGCCAGAGATAACTGGAACTACACCCCACTTCATGAGGCAGCATCCAAGTCCAAATTTGATGTCTGCATAGGTACGTGAAGAATTTGGGTACTGTACAGTATTAAAAACTCTTCTCTGATTAGTACTACTGTACTATATAGGATACCATGGACTCGAGCTTTTATGTAAGGATCCTGTATAGTTCTTGACATTGCCAGCAAAATTGGACCACTGTATTTTTTAAGGATTTTAGATGAAAAATACAATTAACAAGGTTTATTAACATGATAAAATACACAATTAAACTTCAATTTTAAGCCCCTAACTGCACATACTAATTAGATTGATTTCCTGTTCTGCATAAAAAAAATATTACTTTCTGTATCAAGAAACATTTGTTTTCCAATGATAGGAAAAATACACATTTAATATTCTAATAATTTTAATTTGGCCATAGCGAGATGAAGAAATGCTGAAAATGTCTAATTCTGATAAATAATTTTCATGTTAACTATTTATAATAGATTTCTCTTTACTAATATCTTCCAGGTCCATGTACTCAAAATTGTGCACATCTTCACTGGTTCCTAGCATGGGCTTAAGTAAATGGATGGTGATGCATCTGACATGGTGCCAATTTTTTTAAATAATGCCCAGAAAGGAAATTAAAGTTTTCAGGATTTTCTTGGATATGCCAAACAATTGCCAGAAATCTCTAGTGTCAAATGGCATCTACATAGAATCTTTAGAACTTTTGATTATTATGTGGCACATCTCATCTCTTACAGACAGATTGGCACTCTGACCCCTATCACATGAGGGTAATGGGAGCAGTTTAAGGGGTTAAGTAAATCCAATACAATCTCCAGTCTCTATATTGTAATGTAAAAATGTATTGACGTAACACAGTACAAAACATTTTATTCTGGTGGAAGTTATTTATCATTTGCTCTGTTATAAACATAAATTAAATTATTATTTTTTTTACATAAATTTTATTTACCTGTTACTGTATATGCATTTAAAGATATTTACCCAAGAGCCAATATCTCCCTATTGGCCTCACTAGGGGACAGAAAGCTGGCAACTTGTCAAGTGCCCTCCATTATTCCTAAGGATATTTAATGTCTTGAAATTTATGGCTTTGGCAGGTAGGCAGTTCCATGGGTTTATAACCTTATGATGAAAAGCATGTCATGTTTTCTGTCCTACATTGTGGCTTGTTGATCTTGAAGCTGTATCCTTTTGTATGCATTACATTTGACCTTTTAAAGAATTAATTTGGATTAATATCCTCCAACTTGTTCAGTATTGTATTTTAGCATTTTTTATATCAGCCCAATCATATATAATTTGCAGTGTTGTTAGTCCTCTGACCCCCTCAGTCTTTTCTAGTATGAGAGTTAATTTAGTTGGATGATTCTTGTGACTGTATTGAACTTTCTCCAAAGGTGAAGGTAAGGTCTCCATGTCTTGAATACAGTAGTCCAGATGGGGGTGCACCAGAGACTTGTATAATTGAATAACAACACAACTTTCTATTCATTGAATTCAAAGGTTTCTTTCACTATTCCAAAGATATTGCTTTTTTTATACTGCAGCTTCCTCTTGTTCAACTTTCAATGACTAGTGGACTCCTAGGTCCTTTTCTTTATGAATCTGCTGCATAGCTGTGTGATTGATGTGATGTTCATTGTTATACACTACATGCAAGGTCTTGCATTTCCAATATTCAAAAACATTTCCTAGTCTTCTGACCATTTATGGAATTCACGCAGCTCTCTTTGTAAGGCCATATCATTTTTGCTTCCTACTTTACCAAGAATCTTGGCGTCATCTGCAAATTTGATGGTCTGGTTTGTAATATTTTCATTCATGTGATTGATGTATGTGACAAAAGGAGTCGACCCCAAGCTGGAATCATGTGGTACTCCACTTATCATGTTTTTCCAGTCGGAATCATCAAAGGATGAACTTTTGCTTCTTTTTTATTTTAGCCATTGTTTTATCCATACTGATATTTTCATCTTCATTTCCATCATCATTTCCAGTGCATCTCAAGATGCCTGGCACAATCCTTTTGCTTAGTGAAACTAGCATGTAAGCACGGGGGGAGCCATGGAAGCCTTCCAGAAATATCATTACATCCAGCACTTGGTTATTCATCTTGGTTACTACTATTGAGTATATTGGCTAAACCTAAGAAGCTTCATAATAATGTATCTTGATATATGATCTTTGATGGTAAAAATGTTCATCACTTTTTTATAACATATTGCACTTTTCAGTACTGCTTCAGAATGGTGGAGACCACACTATCCGCAACACGGATGGTAAAACAGCACTGGATCTGGCTGACACCTATGCTCGTTCTGTACTCACAGGTTAGTTAGGAATGATTTATACTGTAATGGAAGAAATTTCTTTTGAAAATGCCTGGCAACATTTGTTAAAAGTCAGTTTATTTGGTCATTAAAGGTCATTTGTTATGTCAGTTTAGGTTTGTGTATATTGTAACCCCTCTCAAGTTTTGGTTCATCTTTATTCTTAAATTCAACTTCTATTTAATTTCTGTACATGGAGGCCCCGAGAAAGTTGTGGGTTTGTCTTAAGATTTTATATTTTGTCATCATTTTGAGCTGTGCTGTCTGGAAAAATAAGAACTGATAGGCTCTTTATTTTTAACTTAATATTCTAACCTGTGTGTGGATATGTGATGTAACTCTCCCTCAACCTAAATTATTGATGCAATTCATAGGGTAACTGTTGATCATTTCACCTACTTTGTATCAAAGCTTCTCAAGACCTTGTAAATTGTGTATCCCCTTTTCAGTTATGGTCTCACAATACTTGCTCCGCACTGTGTTCTCGGGTGCTGTGTGCCTTTTGCCAACCCAAGTATTGAATGCTTTGCTGGTTTTATTTCTTTTTCTATACACCATTCCATAGGCTTCTTCTGTGATGGACTTTCATCCAATGTTTTCAAACTATTTAAATTTTCATTTCTTTGAGAACTGACTTCTCAAAATTACCCAATGTAAAAATTGGGTAATTTTGGGTTCTACAGTATCTAACTACAGTATTTGTGTAGTGACTTGTTTTAATAAATGTATTTGTGTTGGGTTTATTGTTGGGCTCTAGTTTTTTGTTCAGTCTATGATAAATAGGTTAATTATTTTCTACATTTGTTGTACCTTGTATGATGTTACATTACAGATATTACCTATGATGGTTGTTTTGTCTGTGTGTGCCACATTATGCACCAAAGCTATTTTTAGCAGATCTGAGAGTAAAACATTAAATAGATTGGGGCATTGGACCAGCCCTTGTGGTTCACCTTGGTATATTGGACATGATTTAGAATTAACATTTCTTGAGGTAAATGTATTATGTCTTCAGTCTTATTATAGATTTGCCATTTTTGTATATCTCTTAAGTTATGCAATAGGCATGAGTGCATCTTTATTTTCATCTCGCAAATTATTTACATTTAATTAGCTAATATTGTTTGCATTTTGCTTATTGGTTATTGTTATAGGAGAATACAAGAAGGAAGAGCTACTGGAGGCTGCTCGTGCTGGCAATGAGGACCGACTACTGACCCTCCTAACTCCTCTTAATGTTAACTGCCATGCCTCAGATGGCCGCAAGTCCACTCCATTACATTTGGCTGCCGGATACAACCGAACAGAAATAGTAACAATACTGCTGCAACATGGAGCTGATGTGCATGCTAAGGACAAAGGGTGAGTTACATTTTTACAATCTTTGTAATCTAGTCAGTTGTTGATGACTTTATATATATAATAAATGTTTAAGGATGAATTGCTGAAGATGTTCATATGTGGCCATAACAAGACTGTGGCAGCCTTGTCTTAATGTTCTAGTCTGTTTTATTATTCTTATGCTGTAGAATAAAACATCTTGGGCAGGACTTATAGTACCTTTGCTATAAGTCCTCCCTAATTTTTCCTAAGGTCTTCCAGTGATTCCTGAAATAGTTCTTGCCTACCTGTCTCAAGCCTTTACTTCATTCTTGCCAATAATTATTGGAATCTTTTATTTGTTTTTAGTTACATTGTGTGTATGAAAGCTGGTTTGGGTCAGGTTTAGAAAAGAACACTATTTAGAAATTTAAAAAAAGAAATATGAAAAACCAAAAGAAACTATGAAATATGTAAAGCAAGACAAATCCTAGAGGGTTTTTCCATGTTTATCAAACAAAGATTAGGGAGTCAATTAGGCCATTAAAAGCTGAGACTGGAAACAGATAATGACTAAGAAATGGGTGGTACAGTATTTTAAATATATACTATGTCTGTATTTACTAGAGACGAACATGACATTATGCCAGCAGCAAAACAAATCTACGTAGGTGGTGAAAAGGGCAAGTTGACTAGTTGTTACCAAGCAGGAATTATTAAACCAATATTTAAATTAAATCCAAGTAAGCTCCCAGGGTATAACAAAATATTTGCCAAGGTGCTTAAAGAATGTAAAGAAGTGCCTAGTGAAACTTTGTCTTGCCTATTTAATAAATCATTAGAGTTGAGCAGAGTACAGGAGATGTGTAGGGTTGCAAATAGGGTGTTGGTTTTTGAAAAGGGAGATTGATCATTTTGAGTCAAACTATGAGTCGAACTATTATCCAATTAGCTAATGTCTATTGCTTGGAAAATTACTTGAATTGATAACTGCAAAAGCCATTTGTTTAGGTCTTGAAAAACACAGATTATTAAAGATTCACAATTTGGTTTTTACTAAGGGCCACCCCATGTTTAACAAATTTATTTGCATTCATTTCCAGTGTACAGTATTTCAAGCAGTTAACAGCAGAATGGATTGTAGAATTTTGTACCTTGACTTCAGCAGATACTTTGATATTGTTCCTCGTGAGAGACTCATTAAAAAGTTAGAGGTCCATGTTATTGGGGGGGGGGAGGGAGTTATCCTAGATTGGATTAGGGCATTGTTGTTTCAATGATAGCATCATATAGCAATAGGGATTAACTTTTTCTCTTCTGATAAATGTATCGATATACAGTATTAAGACATTTGCTAAATATTTTGTATTTTTTACAGTGGTCTAGTTCCGTTACACAATGCCTGCTCGTATGGTCACTTTGAGGTAACAGAGCTGCTCATTAAGCATGGTGCCAATGTTAATGCAATGGATCTCTGGCAGTTTACTCCTCTTCATGAAGCAGCATCAAAATCACGCGTTGAGGTGAATAAAGTCTTTGTCTTCTAAAGTCTTCATTTCTTTTATTGTTTGTATGTTTGTAATTCCATTTAATGAAAGTCAGTAATAAATAAATAGAATTTTCTGAGTAATCTATAATTAAAATTTCAATGATTTCACAATTTTTCCAAAAATTAAGTGCTCATTCACATCATATGCTGTAGAATTACATAAGACATTCTACAATAAAGTTTGTTAATTAATAAGTAAACTTCACCTTTTTATGCAATCCAGGCACTACCCAGGATCGTTTAACTAAAAAGGAACTTGTGAATTAACAGTTACTTGACTTAAGTTGTGTGAACTCATCACTTGGGGTTAACTTATTAAGAAGTGTGAAACCTCTTAGGTGTGTTCACTGCTGCTGGCACACGGAGCTGACCCAACGCTGCTCAATTGTCACTCCAAGTCGGCCATTGATGTTGCACCATCTAGAGAACTTCAAGAACGGCTTACGTGTATGTTCTTTATTATGTTACTCTAGATTTAGAGCTAGGAATTCAGTTTTAGAAATTTAGTTCCTTCTTGACTGATATCATTCCTCCCTCCCTCCACCCTCATTTTTTCCTCAGTGACCCTTCTCCTACCTACTTCCCTTGTCTCCTCTCGTTACAATCACTAGCACCACAGCTGCTTCAACCACCATCACCGCAAACATTGCGATCACGATCTCATATGTTAGTTTACAAAATAAACTTGTGGTCAATTATTCTTTTACTGGATTTAGTGACCAGGATTGTGATAATAGCAGGATTGTGGTGATAATTAACGCTGTGCGTAGTATTGTGGGAGGAAGAATTTTAGTGAGGGAGGGAATCCAGATAGCATCACTGTGTGTGGCAGCCACTCTTGTTTTGCTCACCATACTAGCTTAGTGGTTTTCTATGGAGAACACATATGTACATGGGTATATACAATGTGTGTATGCAGTGTAATAACAGCAACAGGAGTATGTTGGAAGGAACCATTTTGGTGAGGGAGGTGGCGTTGTACTCGTAGCATCGTCTGCTGGCTGCTGTGTGATTTCTCATGTAGTGTATGGTGGTCACTATGCTGTTTGGACACAATACCAGCTTACTTGCATAGTTATGGTGAATAAAACATGTATATACGTATACATAACGTGTGTAAATAGTGTAATAAAACAATAACATTATGGTGGGAGAAGCAATGTTGGCGAGTAAGGAGTAAGTTAGGTGTTGGAGGAGTGAGGGAGGGCTGGCTGGGTGTGGCAGCTCACACTTGTGGAGGTCTGAATGTGTTGTTGGTAAATGTATATAGTGTGTAAATATGTTGTAAATATACATAAATGAACATGAAACATTGGATATATTGCTCATATGTGGCCACACATGAGACACACATAACACAGTGTCTTGGGACAGTACGGATGTTTTACTGCCATAATATTGTGTACGTGTTCATTATAAATAGGATTGGCAAGAAAAAACAAAACAAATGTATTTGGAAATGTATGGAAAAAATGAACAAAAAAATATTTGTGGCAACTCTCGCATGTTAAAGCTGGCGGGCGACTGGCTTCGGGAGTTTACGTCACAGGCGACCACCAAATCGTGACGTCACATGCCATTTTCTGGACCCCATTGCGGCCAAAGTAATTACAATTTCATTTTTTATTTTACATATCTGTAATCAAGGAAGGTTATTTAACATTTTCAAAAACAAAAAGAATTTGTTCCCGAGAGTTTATTTCCTGCGCACAAGGGTGGGGGGGGGGGGGTGCCGTATTTGAAAGGCAAGCAGCACAGGGGTTAAATAAGTGTTTACAATATAAATAAAATTCATAAATAGTTACATTGACTTTTTACAGTTCAAAATCATTTAACTTGGGGTCAGTGCACATAAAAATTTAAAAGTATCATTGTAAATATTTAGTGATAAAGTAATTAATTAGTACAGTATAATTTTTAATGCAAATATATTAACTTCAGAGAAGAAATAAGTCGTGGAGTGTATATAATTGTAACATGTTAATTTGTATATACTATACTAGTATGTGCAAATGTGAAAAGAAGGAAACCAGAAAACATATAATGGATTGGAAGCAGCGGAAGCAGCTTGACTTGCAAATAAGTTTATGAAATATTAAATACAGTAGTTATTTTTAAAGTATAGAGTGGATTTACTGAATGTAGCAAACCATCAAATTTGTTTTAATAACTGGCATAAAATTTTCAGATGAATACAAGGGTCACAGTTTACTGGAGGCATGTCGCCAGGCTGATGCTGCACGTCTCAAGAAATTTCTCTCCCCAGAGGTTGTCAACTTTAAACATCCTTACACTGGAAATACTCCCCTTGTAAGTATTTGAAATTTCTTTTGGAGAAATAGGAGAGCACACAGAGGCAGATAGCTAAGTTAAATCACACTTAGAATGTTATAGCATTTATCAATGTACTGAGAAAGGCAAGAGTCAACAGCAATGAAGCCAGGACTAAGGTTCGCGTTGGGCATTTTGTGGACGAGAGCCAATTCAACAAGATGGTGTCTATGGAGAGTAAAAACAGAAAAGATTATTTTGGAAGAAGACCATGCTATAGGATAATTGAATTCCCTAACATGACAGAAGAGGGCATTGTTTTTGTCAGCAAGTTTGAGACGTCTTATGTGTTCCATAAATCTGTTGCTAAGAATTCAAAGAAATCACAATAGCATGAATTATTAATGAGAAAATCTGTAAGAGCAGTGCAGGGATATCTGGTTTTCACCAGGATGCTGGTTCAAATCCCTGCACTGCTTTTGCTGATAATTTCCATCATGAAAAGTATGACTAATTTTACCAAAGTATTTGAGAGGACATGAGGAGCAGGAAATACAGTATAATAAACACCACCAGCATTGGAAGCAGGGGGACCAGAGTGGCCCGAGTAACTCTGTAGTATAGTATGTTAGTTCGTCAAATGGAAAGTTTTATATAAAGAGGACAAAGGTTGTTAGTAAGATTTTTAAGTTTAGATATGAAGGGAAGTCAACGCGCAGGGTTCGTACTGTTAATAGGATAACGTTCCTATCAACAATATCTTTCAGGACCCTTTCCTTCGTTTTATGAGCCGTCGAAAAGAAGTTCCTGTAAAACAGTCTAATAGGGGGGTAGGGGGTAGATGTGTTGTGCTAGTTGACTCTTCAGAGGTTGCATGGCATTTCACCTTTCTTTTTATGATGTCTTCAACAAAACCATTAGAGAAGCCGTTGTTGACTAGGACCTGCCTTACCCTACAGAGTTCTTCATCGACTTGCTTCCATCCTGAGCTATGGCTGAGAGTACGGTCGACATAAGCATTGACAAAACTCCTTTTGTACCTGCCTGGGCAGTCACTATTGACGTTGAGGCACATTCCTATGTTTGTTTCCTTAGTGTAGACTGCAGTGTGGAAGCCTCCGTTCCTTTCCGTGACTGTTACGTCTAGAAGGGGCAGCTTCCCATCCTTCTTCATCTTCCAAGTGAAACTCAACACAGAATTCCGCTCAAATGCCTCCTTCAGCTCCTGCAGACGTCTGGTATCAGGTACCTGGGTAAAAATGTCGTGAACATACCTGCAGCATATGGCGGGTTTCAAGTCCATGTCAACTAAGACCGTCTGCTTGATGATATCCATGTAGAAGTTCGCAAACAGGACACCTAGGGAAGAACCCATGGCAACCCCATCTACTTTCAAACCATAATGTGAAAGTGTTAAAAGACCAGTGTGCAAAATGGAGGTGCAAGTCGAGATAACTGGTAAGACACTCTACAGGGCAAGGAGTATTTGACAAATGGCAAACAGGGTTATGGTCACAGAGAAGACAGGCTGGATTGGGATTCCAGAAGGCTCAGTCCTGGGTTGCATTGCTGTTCCTAATCTGTAAGAATGATGTATTAGTGCTGGTTCTCATGTGTGCTGATATTGGATCTTCTGGTGCTAAGTATATTATAGAAATAATTCACAATAGTATTGAAAAGAAGGGTGATATAATATAGATGGTAATATACAGTACACATGCTGGTGAGATTCCTTTGCAAATGATGGTGGTGATAACTATCTGACCAAACACAGGCACTAGGGTAGCTGAACACTTAACGAATGCTTTAGTTTCGACCATCTACATATTTTGGTTAATTTCGTGGTAAGTATTGTTTGTACAGATTAGATTCTGGCACCATTTTATACAAAAATTAATAATTTATTGCATAGTTTTTTCTGAGAAGTTATTAATGGTATTTTCATATCCACTTCGACTGAAAACTGGAAACTTTTCCCTACTCTAAGGCTGTGCTTAGTGTGTTTATTATTTTCACTTCACTTTTTTTGTGTTTATTCCACCCACATTGTGTTCCCAGTTTATTGTTTTGCTACATCTTTGTGTCAGAGTTATCTTCACTGGCACCAGCTCGTGTTTCTCCCTCCCCACCAGGATTATGTTCTCTGAGGGATTTGGGTTCCTCCTCTGTGGGCTGGCTCCGTTCGATTGATTTTTTATTGTTGCCGCCGAAGGCGGCTAGTTTATTGTGCACCCATACTCATCCTGTGAGCGGTAGCGCAAAAGCATTACAGAGGGCACAAAAGGTCTTTATCAGACCTCATCTTAGATTATTACATAAACAATTTCTTCAATCCTTCACACCTTATAGATACAATGTCAGCTAGTTACAGAGAAAGTGCTATTACAAGAGCTACATATTTACAGTAAGTCGTCATACATTAATGATAGGTCTTATCGTTAATACATAATAGTTTGGCCAATGGGGATATTACAGAGTCATAGGGGAGCTTCTGTTTATTATTAGTCCTCACAATACACTACTTGTTTCTGAATCTCGTATGTCGTTCATCTACTGGAAGCAAAATGTGGGTACAGTGCAAGGATTTCAGGTAATTTATCCATGGTAATAAGATAGGTTGCCATATCATACAGAGTGAGCCCAGACTTATCTCTAAAAGGCTCAATTTTACAACAATCCAAGATATAGTGTTCGAGTGTGTGTCCCTGCCTATGTCCACACTTTTTACTTCATCTAGATCCCTATACAAGCCGAACTGCCAGAGATACTTGTAGCCAAGTCTTATACGAGCTGTGACAACATCTGTTAGTCTACTGACTTTGTTACTTTCCCCATACACATGTTTTACTTCACACATTTCATTGTGATGAACAATGGACCTACTAGTTCCAGTTTGCACTGTTCTACTTTCTTCAAATCCATCTAGGAGTTCTCGTCGTTCGAGTTGCCTTTCTTCCTGGTTGTTGTTGGAATGTAGTTGCCAAAGAGATTCCTATTGGTATGGCATAGGGTAGTTAACTGTATGCTAGTGTATATTGTATTTGGCTCCGACTCGTTGGTTTTTGTGCCTTGTGTCTACAGTTAGGACTGCATGTGGATTGCTTTTAATGATTTATTCTTCTCCATGGCATTATATGCCTTCCCTCATCACCTAATTGATGGCATACAGAAATTGATTTCTGACAATGTTTCTCTTGCACCTGGAGCATCTGCCCACAGTTACGGGGCTGGACATCCAGTTCCTGTGCATCTGCGAGGTTTGTGCTTGTCGTTCTTTTTTTGGTCAAGTGCCATGAATAACCACAAACTTTAGAGCTGGACTGTGCTGCATGCTCTTTGAGTGAACCAGAATTTTATCCTAGTTTCCAGAGGATGCACAAGTCTCAGGGACTTGGTATAATTGGGAAGCTCTGCAATACAAGCACTGCTGCTCTGGGAAGTTACTGACAGGCCTCACAGAATGTGGCATTTCACATTATTTATTTATTGATTTTATTTTATTTATTGTATTTTAGTTATTCATTTTATTTTTATTTATTTTATTTATTTGCAGCACTGTGCAGTTGGTTCAACTGGTGGCAAACGTCGGAGTGTAGTGGAAGCCTTGCTGCGAAAAGGAGCTCCACTTCAAGAAAAAAATAAGGAATTCCTCACACCACTTCACCTATCGGCTGACAAAGGACATTACGAAATTATGGAGCTACTGCTAAAACATGGCTCAAAAGTTAATGCACTAGATGGTCTTGGCCAGACAGGTAAATGACATCAGTTTATAATAATAAATATTTATGTGATTATAAGCAAAGTGGTGAGTGATGAAAATTTTTTTTTTTTTTTTTGGGGGGGGGGGGAGATGAGAGAATCAGAGTGTTGGGGTATTGGGCCATCACAAAGCTTGTTTAAGGCCACTATATAGATCTAATTTTATAACTACACTTATGTAATTACAATTTATGATGGCTATCTATGTGGCCGTGTAATCATAAAAGCAGCGTTGAATGTAATGAAACGCCATTTTCTGGGTGAGACCCAGAGGCTTAGCAGAGAACCACCAAAAACAGTAGGGTATGACTAACCAAGAGGCAGACCCTCCACCAGGCAGAGAAAACAGAGAAAAAGAAAACCCCCCGCAAGAGGACAATTTGCCCAAGTCTAACAGAGCCGGCCACATTGAGAGATAACAAGCTGCGCTGTACCCTGCACCCCAACCAGTGACAAAAACTACTCCCTACCCAGAGGCAAACGGGTAAACAAAAACCCCAGCTGACTCTAAGGACGGTCTCACACAGAGCAGTAAAAAGATACAGAGGAGATAGATCCCAAGGTTTCTTGTGGAAGGCGGCCCCAAACCCTAAGGGCAGTACTTACAGGGCACCTAAGGAAGGAATCCCTAGGTGCATGAAGCCCGAGTACTTGAAGAATAATATTCCTGGCTCGCACACCGATCGTAGAGACAGGACCATGCCACATGGACAGATACAGAATCTGGAGCCAGAGGCACGCGACCTGCCAGCAACACACGACCTGCTAGTTTCAACCAGAATAGAGGTTTGTTTTGGGATGCTTATCTTTCTGGGTGCCTGATCCAGTCAATGGCAGACATAGAATGCTCCAAATCACATGTGCTATTCTTTAGGCCATTGCTCCTCATGCCTCTCTTGGGGGGGGGGGGGGGCAGGTTCTGGCTTGTGGTCCCCAGTAGGCCTATGAACTCCATTCACACTGATGCCAAAGTCTAATATATTACATATCAGCCTGGATAGCTCCGTTGAGCCTCTGGGGTCTCACCCAGAAAATGAATCTTTCTATGGTGAGAAAACTCTTAAAATCTGGTGAAAGTGTATGATATTGTACTACAGTACCGTATAACAAAAAATCATAGATCTGCTGCAAAAGAGTCCTTATGTAATAGATTGGGTCCAGAACAGTGACTTCAATTTTGATTTCATTTATTCAATTGTACTTTGTTAACAAGATATACTGTATAAATTGGTGAGAAAATTCTGAAGGATCCTTCAGCTCCTCTTCTTGGTTTCAGCACTTCATCGATGTGGTAAGGAGGGGGATGTACAAGCGTGCCGTGTTCTACTGCAGTTTGGCATTGATCCAACCATTATTTCTCTCCAAGGGTACACTGCCACTCAAGTTGCCACAGATCCTGTTCAGCGATTACTACATGGTCAGAGTTTTCTCAATCTCTCTATATTGAATGAGTGCTCTTATAGAAAGTATTATATATGAAATTACTATAGATTAAAAATAATTGTAATTTCTTGGGTATCATCTTTTATCGTTGTATAATCATAACACTTTCAGAAGATCCTCCTGGACCTGGTGTAGACAGTGAGCAGCAGCTTTTAGAAGCATCAAAATCAGGTGATATAGAGTGTGTGCGTCGTATTCTTACTTCCCAGCCACATCTGGTAAATGTCCGGGATCTAGACGGTCGTCATTCTACACCCCTACATTTTGCTGCTGGGTATAATCGTGTGCCCATTGTGGAATATCTTCTTCAACATGGTGCAGATGTACATGCTAAAGACAAAGGGTGAGTTAAAGTAAAGATATTATCTATGTTTTGTGGCCTTGTATTAAAGATAAAGTGGTAATTATAATATATGGTAATGAGAATGGTGTATTATGTATGTTAGGTGACAATTCGGCATGTGACAGTATCCATGTACACACGGGAGTTTTAAGCTGTTACACTAATGTTGTTAACATGGTATAACAGCTCCGAATGGTGCCATGTACAAAAATTCTGCTATTGTCTGTAATTGAGTAGTATGCAAAGAGGTTACTGTGTATTGGCCTGCAGTTATTTTCAAGTCATGGTTTGGATTTTCCAGCCAGTCTCGATTTCTGAACAGTGTTCCAGACAGCATAGAAGCAAAAGAGTGGATTAAAAGTTACTTCCTTTAAGTTGTGCCTGGAACAGATTTACAGTATGTGCAATATAGATGTACAGTACATACAGGTAAGTCTAAAAAACCCAGATTATGTTGTTCTGGATCCGTTCAGGATTTCCTGTAATTTGCATCTTTTATTTTTTTATTTTTTACTTTATTATAGCAAGTGATACATACTTTATGCACATTTTCACACATAATATATCCCACAAATATCATTGTTTATATAAGGATTATTTATAATGTATAAATGTACACAAGAATAGTTGTTGCTTACATTTATGGAGCACTGACTGGCCTTCCTACATGGGTGGGACAGGACCTCTTGGCACTTCCTGTGATTTTTTTTTTTATAAATTTGTGTATATTTTGTTAGTTTAAAAAACTTGTACAAGATTTAATGAGGCATGCAGGACAGCAATTAGTTAATGGAAACAATTCTGTATACTGTATGTATAATAAGTAACCAACATGAAAGTTATTGAGAAATTGACCATTACTCAAATTTCGTGTAGAATTTTCCCTTCATTAAGGGTCTTAAAATTGAGTCCTTTGTTATGTAACTAATTAATTTCTTCAGAGTTTATGACTTATGGGCAAGTACAGTATATGTAGTACATTTGAGATAAATTTTGCTGGCTTGGACCTTAATTTAAATCTGTCTTGTATAATTTTGAAGTTACTGTACTTCACTTTAAACGATTTTTATCTTAAATATGTTAACAAAATTTTACCAAATATTTTTCAGTGGTCTTGTGCCTTTACACAATGCATGCTCCTATGGTCACTACGAAGTAACTGAGCTGCTTGTACGGCACGGGGCCAGTGTCAATGTTGCAGATCTCTGGAAATTTACGCCTCTTCATGAAGCTGCTGCCAAAGGCAAATATGATATTGTTAAACTATTACTAAAGGTAAATAGATTTTATGGATTGTACTTTGAATTAACCATTTATAGGCATAAGATCTTTAATGTAGATTTTTCAGTGAACTCCATGTTTTATTTTATGAATTTAAGACCCTTGATTTTGTTTTATGCAATCAGTGTTTGAATGTTTACAAGTTTTCTTGCCAATTGATAGATTGGTGTTATGATTTCACTAACATGATTAAAATTTGTTTTAAATTTATATATGAGGAATTTCATTGAAAGTTTTAATTCTAAAACATACTTTTCTGGGGGAGCCCCTTGGCTCCCCGAAGCTTACTAGGCTGATATGCTAATTGCTAATGTCAGACTTTGGCATCAGTGATATGTGTGGAGTTCTTATGGGCCTACCGGGGACCACGAGCCAGAACCTGGCCCTCTCTAGAGAGGCAAGGGGGAGCAATGGCCTATAGAAACCCCCGTGTAATTGGAAGCATTCTATGTCTGCCATCAAACGGGTTAGGCGCCCAGAAAGGTAGGCATCCCAAAATATGCCCCTATTCTGGTGAAAATTGCAACCAAAAGCCGAACGAGTGGATAGAACTCCCCAAACAAAAACGAGCAGACAGCGGCACGACGACGAATGACGTCATACAAGTTTGCTCGTTTTTGTCTGGGGGAGTTCTATCCACTCGTTCGGCTTTTGGTTAAAATATTCATGAGAATAGGGGTTTGTTTTGGGACGCCTACCTTTCTGGGTGCCTAACCCGGTCGATGGCAGACATAGAATGCTTCCAATTACACGGGGGTTTCTATAGGCCATTGCTCCCCTGGCCTCTAGAGAGGGCCAGGTTCTGGCTCGTGGTCCCCAGTAGGCCCATAAGAACTCCATACACATGACTGATGCCAAAGTCTGACATTAGCATATCAGCCTAGTAAGCTCCAGGGAGCCTCCGGGACTCGCCCAGAAAATGGCGTTTCATTACATTCAACGTTTTTTTTTTTCTGGGGGGAGCCCCTTCGGCTCCCTGGAGCTTACTAGGCTGATATGCTAATGTCAGACTTTGGCATCAGTCATGTGTATGGAATTCAATGGGCCTACCGGGGACCACGAGTCAGAACCTGACCCCCCTCAGAAGAGGCAAGGGGAGCAATGGCCTATAGAAACCCCTGTGTGGTTGGAAGGCAGTTCCATATGTTTATAACTCTATTAGTGAATAACCCCATCTCCTGTTTTGTGTTCTGCATTGTGACTTGTTGAGCTTAAAACTGTTGTTCCTTGTTCATGTTACATCTGACCTATATAATAAGTGGTCTGGATCGATACCCTCCAAATTGTTCAATATTTTAAAAGTTTTGATGAGATCAGCTCTGTCATGTCTGTTTTGCAGTGTTAGCACTGTAGCCCTCAACCGTTCCTGGTATGAGTGTCGACTTGGTTCAGGAATAATTTTTGTTGCTCAGTGTTTAACTTTCTCCGAAGCAGATATTTCTTTCTGAAGACGAGGTCTTTATGCTTGGATACAGTAATCCAAGTGTGGTGCCCCAGAGATGTATGCAGTTGAATAACTATTTTCTTTTTCCTGAAATCAAAGTTACATCTGGTTATTCTTAGGATTTTTTATTTTTTATTTTTTTCACACTGCAGCTCCAACTTGTTGTGCACGTTTAATGATTTATGGATTCTGACTCCAAAATCCTTTTCCCCACTAGTCTTCTGCAAGGTAATGTTGGTAATTTTGTAGTTGTGATGTGCATTGTTATGCCCCACTTGAGTCATCAAATTATCAATGTGTCCATGGACTTGTTCACTCCCCCACTATTCCCACCTGGCTTCCCCATCATGTGCACAAAACCAGAATGTTTCCTTTTTTTTCTCCTACTTTTTTGTTTGCACAAGAGTGGCACCTTTGTATGTTACGGGTTAAACACTACTAGTTAGAAACGAGAAATTTTGAAAATAAATAATGTTGTCTACTGTATTATCAATACAGTATGGCCACATACAGTTCATGTGGTCATAAGCCTTAAGATTTTATAATAAAAATATTTGTCTACTTGTGATGTATAAATATACTTCCCCTACAATCCTGGTAAGGTAAATGGTAACAATTTATTACTTTACTTTTAGAAATATTTGGTTTTTGTTTGTATACTGTTTTCAAGTCCAGTACAGTACTTTTCTTTACAATATTAAAAATGTGGCTTTTATCTGGGTTTCCAATCTGACGTGGCATCAAGGTGGCCACCAATGTAGAGCAGTTGGTCTTTCCTGCTCCCTACACCAAACTGTTGTTCTGGGTGGCGGCCCACCAGGTGGCGGCGTGATTACAAGTTGCACGCCTGTGCCTTGTGCTACAGCTTTTGCAGGCTCCTCTTGCTGCTGAGGATGTGATTGTTTTCCCTCGGTTCTATGAGGAGGAATTTTAGGATTTAGTTTTCCTCTCCCTGTATTCATTGCTCACTACATAATACATTGGTATGTGTGTGTTCAGAGATATGTCTTTCTCATTGATAATTACTAGTATATTCATAAACTACAACCAAAACATATCTACAGTACTTATTATGATACCGATAAATTCTTCTCTCTCTCTCTAGCATGGTGCTGATGTCGGTAGAAAGAACCGAGATGGACACACGGCTTTAGATTTGGTGAAGGAGAGTGACCAGGATGTTGCAGACTTATTGCGGGGTGATGCTGCTTTACTGGATGCTGCCAAGAAGGGTAATCTGGCTCGTGTTCAAAAACTTCTCAATCCAGAAAACATCAACTGCAGAGACTCTCAGGTATAGTAACAAATAACCGTACATACAATTATAATAGTTTATATGCGATAGATACCATTTTGCCTACATAGTTGTTGGCCATTGTATCATAAATCTTGTAATGTTTTCTCTTGAGCTTTTAAATACGGTATAAATATTTATTATGAGAATTATGATATCAATGTTTAAAAGTAATACTGCACTGTATTATTTCTTTTATTGTATTGTTTAGGGTCGCAACTCTACACCTCTGCACTTGGCAGCAGGTTACAACAACCTAGAAGTTGCCGAATATCTCTTAGAAAATGGAGCTGATGTCAATGCTCAGGATAAGGTTAGTGCATTTCATAAATGAGGACTTTGAGTTTCATATGTCTACACATTACTCCAGTGCTTGGCAGGTTAATGTTTTACCGAGGGTAATGGATACTGTGTGTCTTCTCGCTGCTCTCATTTTCCTTGCACCTGATGTTTTCCACTTATTGGTGTCATTTTGCAGACGTGTAGGAATGTGACTGATGTACAAGTTATGTTTCAACATCAAACTCAAATTTGGGCCAATTTTGATGGGAATATTACAAATGACTCGACAGAAACAGTAATGACTTATTAGTTATTTCGATGTTTGTGTAAAAAATTGTAAGCAATTTTAACGTTTTAGCATTGCAATTGTAGATTCATCGGACACCATATGAGGGTAACTCCCCTTACCTAGGTGTGTAGATATACTATAATTTTATTCCATTCACCTGGGCTCTAGGAGACCCGAACTGTGGACCTCGCGTGGGTGAGGCCGAAGCTCTATCGACTGAGCTATTAAGTAGTCTTAATAAGGAAGCTTTCGAGTAGTCTTAATTTTCTATAATTTTAGTACAGTATATGCTGAAATTTAAGTCAATTTGAATCCTTTCCCTTAAAATCTTTGTATCTGGCAGTCTTATCCAAAGCTGGACAAAACTTCTGTCATATTTGAGTGGTCACTTAGAGCAACTAATTGACGTAAGTGTGTGTCTTAATGCCAAAGACCAGCATTCCTGCACTGTGTGGTGAAGACGGGAGAAAAACTCCAACCTACATCACATGTCGGTGAACAAATCAAGAGATAGGGCCAAGGGCTGCTGCGGACTGAACCCCCGAAAATGGAAGATAGAAAATGTTAAAGTGTGATAACTTGCCCACTAGGGTATACCCCATGCAATTGGCGAGCAGGTGAAGAGACATCATCCTGGGCATCCCAGGCATCGTCTTGGGGTACAAAGCCCCAATGGCACCCAAAGGTAGTGGCCCAATTAGATGAGTTGGACCATGCTGAGAGCTTTTGGAAGAAATGCATTTGGTCCCCATTACTTTTCAAACAGTGAGTGCCAAGGAAGATAACCCTAAAGCCAAATTGAAGCAGCTGGCTACATTGAGAAATGCAACATGACTGGGCATTAAGCCACGAAGTGAACAAGTATGAAACCCCCTGCAAAGAGACAGTCTCAAGGAATAATCTGTTAGCCTAACTGACCCTCTGCAGAGCAAAAATATTTGTGCAGGTATATGCCAGGAACACAGGGAGGGCTGCCATTTTTTCCAAGCCAGTTGTATTAACTAGTGCCAACACCTGGAATCATTTGGTGTAAGGGTTTGTTTGCTAGTGACATGTTTTCTGAATGATAATTGGTGGTTCTCATAGTGCTAATGATTGTTTGGTGGGGCTGTTGAGTGATTTGATTTATTATTTGGTGTCATACCAAGCAGTTTCTCTTGGTGGTATATTGAGGTAGGGTTTCTATTGTGCTGCCCTTCCCTATACTACAAGATGATTGCTTGAAAAGTGGTAGCCATGTAAAGAACATGTTGGTTTGGAGAAATTGAGAGGAGGATTATAGGGGAAATATAATTAAATAATTAAGTACAGTTTATGGGTATGAAGTGATAAGAAGACAACCTTGTGGAGAGGAAAAGTATATGAATAATTATGGGATGGGTAATAAAGCTACCTCTAAGATTGTATGACTTCTGGGAAGCTTTCTGTTTATGGCCACCTCTTTGGAAGGGGCTCCTGGCAAAACAGGGCATCATGGGTAAAGCTACTATACAGTACACATATAGTTTATAATATGCACAGATTTGTGCAGATTGTGTATGAAATGTATGTGTCCAGGATAGTAAAATTTGGTAATTGACCTCTTACAGCAAAGTATGTGTGACTGATCAGTTGCTGAAGTGTTTTGTCAAATTTATTTCAGGGTGGCCTCATTCCTCTGCACAATGCATCCTCGTATGGACATCTGGACATTGCAGCTCTCCTCATTAGATTCCAGACAGCTGTAAATGCCACAGATAGATGGGGCTTCACACCTCTTCATGAAGCAGCTCAAAAGGGTCGAACTCAGCTGTGTGCTCTCTTGTTGGCTCATGGGGCTGACCCCTACCTCAAGAATCAGGTCAGCTTCTTTGGGTTTGTTAGCTGTTTTCTTGTACACTGACTTTTTATAGATAATTTTGGATTAAAATTTTAATGCCCAATATAAAGGCGATGCTATGGAGGGATGGAGGCATGAAGGTGGGTGGAAGGGAGGTAGGGAGAGTTTGGATAAGTGGGAGTTATATTATTTTCATTAAGGGAAAATGTATTTTAATGGTTCAAAAATTATTTGAAATGTTAATTAATGATATTTATCAACCTCAGATTTAGCAACTATCCAGATTTAGGGAGTAGGGTATAATCCCATATACAGTGGTACCTTCATTTACAAATTTATTCCGTTTCCAGAGACGGCTCGTAACTTGAAAATTCATAACCCGACAAATTTTCCCATAAAAAATAATGTAAATTGAATCAATCCATTCCACACTCCAAAAAATATTAACTTCAAAATACTGTACATTTCATACATAATACAGTAATCACAAATATTTTGTACTATAGTATGTACAAGTTATAGCTTACCTTTATTGATGACTTGACATATGAAAGGTGGTGAAGGTGGGGGGGGAGGGGGAGAGGTGTTAGTGTTTGGAAGGGGAGTCCCCTTCCATTATAACATAGGCAGTGATGACTTTTTCTGGGGTACTCCATTTCCTACATTTTGCCTGCATACTACTGGGACCTGGTTGTGGCTCACTGCTTGTTTTTCTCACCAAGAACCTTTCCTTAGAGCCTCGTTTTTCCTACCTCTTAACACTTTTGCGCTTTAGATTAGAGATAACTCGTCGCCGTTTTTTCTTACGATTCCGCATAACAGCCTACTTTTCTCGTCCATCGAAAAAATATTTCTATAAATTCCATTTTTTAACCGAAATGGATGGGGATACTCTCAGATTATATACGTTTTGTAGAGAATTTATTTGCGAATTTTTTGGTACCAGAATGAATATTATATCACAAACTTCTATGAGTAAAAAAAAAAAAAACACAAAGTATGTTTGGGGGTGTGGCGGGCGTGTGGCAGTGGGTTCCCTTTAGCCGTTGATATATCCAACACGTGGGAAATATTTGTATGTGTTATGTATATGTCTGTGTAGGGAATTTTACTGCGATCACTGTCATACAAATTATAAAATGTTTCAACTAGTATAAACATGACAAACATCAAACGAACGAAAACAATGCGTTCGTTTCTGCAGCGAACGCATACTGAGCGACGTGGTTCTATATTTGGCGCTTCTCTTACACATGCTTTGTACAAATGTTATACATTTCATCTTATAGAAAATTTTATTGCGAACACATTGGTATAAAAAGAAATACGTACATAGAAAAGTAGGGTCAGGAAATGTATAAACTTTCCAAGCATGATTTCCCCCTTGTGTTTTCGCCAGTGCGCTCGCGGCTAACTACTCTCCACTTCACACACTCTTGCGGGTGGGCAATTACCTATATTAAACATTCATATGCATATGTCCGTGTAGAGAATTTTATTGCGATTCCAATGATACCAAAATTAGCGATGTAGGACAACTGTAGGCTTCGCAACCATTAAGAGAGTGGAAACATTTTGTTGCTGTTTGGCGCTCTCGGCGAGTGATCTGCATAGTTTTTTATTTGGTGTTGATACTCCTTATGCTTGGGCGGCATTTTATAGGTATGCTCTTATAGACAATTTCATTGCGAACACAGTGATACCAAATTTAAATACGTGCGCCTTCAATTATTGTCAGGACAGTCAAAAGAGTGTACACTTTTTCGGTCTTACCGCATAGGCGCGCGAAGTGCCGAAAGCATCTGGGGTATTGATTTTTTTCGAGCGCCGAGAGCGCGAAAGTGTTAACACTTGTCTGTAGTGATGCATCAGTGTCATTAAAAAGATTAAGGCAACGGCCTACTGCAGCTTGCTTTGGGTGAGTTGTTTCAACAAAATTTTGCATTTCTTCCCATACTGCACACAACTTCTTAATTGTTGAGTAAGGGACATTTTGTACTGCCTCCTCCTTCCCTGAAGAAATTTTCTCAGTTGTCTCTTGTTGCTGCTCCTTGTGAAGGGCTAGGAGTTCTTCGGTGGTCAGTTCTTCGCTGTATTCCTCTATCAACTCCTCCACATCAGCACCATCCAACTCCAAGCCCAATTGCCGGCCTAGAGAAACAATTTCCTCAAGTTGCTTCAGGATCGGGCTCAAGCCCCTCAAAGTCTCGTTCTAGAACACACAGGCCACAATTTTCTCCAGCCAGAGATCATGGGTCTTGGTCATTTCTTGCACTACAAATGTTAAAATGTTTTTTCCAGAACTCTTTGAGGGTGAGGTTTGTGGCATCAGTCACTTCGACACATTTCTGGAAAAGTGCTCTTTCATAAAGTTTCTTAAAATTGGAAACGATTTTCTGGTTCATAGGCTGAATTAGAGGAGTGGTGTTGGGAGGAAGGAACTTTATTATAACAAAACTAAATTTCCCCAACAATGAATCTCCAAACCTGGAGGATGAGCAGGAGCATTGTCAAGGAGAAGCAGGGCCTTGAGTGGCAAACTGTTCTCCTGCAGATATTTTTTTGAAGGAAGGGCAAACCACTTCGTTTACTCACTCGGTAAAAAATTTCCTTTATCACCCATGGGAGCCGGTCGGCCGAGCGGACAGCACGCTGTATTTGTGATCCTGTGGTCCTGGGTTCGATCCCAGGCGCCGGCGAGAAACAATGGGCAGAGTTTCTTTCACCCTATGCCCCTGTTACCTAGCAGTAAAATAGGTACCTGGGTGTTAGTCAGCTGTCACGGGCTGCTTCCTGGGGGTGGAGGCCTGGTCGAGGACCGGGCCGCGGGGACACTAAAAAGCCCCGAAATCATCTCAAGATAACCTCAAGATGCCTTACTATTAGCCCTCCACATCACACATTTAGCTTTTCTGCACATTATATTCGTTGAACCCTTGGAATTTCAGAATGATACACAAACAAGAGTTTAATTTTCAAATTGCCACTCGCATTACCACACATCACAAGAGTTATCCTATCTTTCGTAGGCTTGTGTCAGGGCAACGACTTCTCCTCCTGGGTAATGTATGTCCTCTTTGGCAATCTTTTCCAGAATAACGCTGTCTCGTCACAATTAAACACTTGTTGTGGGTAGGTATCCCTCACTATCTACAAAATTTTAAAATTTGCCAACAAATCTTTCAGCAGCTAGTTTGTTTGAGCTGGCAGCCTCCCCCATGCCTCACAATACTATGAATACCAATTCTTTTTCTAAATTTCTCAAACTATCCCCCTGCTCGCCTTAAACACTCTCATATCTGCATCATTTGTTCCAGGGGGTTTTCTTTTAAGATCTTCATGCAGTAGCCTTGCTTTTTGACAAATGATGGCCTCTGAAATGTTATCACCTGCTAACTCCTTGTTGTGTATTCAAATTAATAATAACTTTTCAATATCCTCAAGTGTTTGTGTTCTTTGTTTCGTGATTATTGATACTTCTTTTGCCCTTTTAGCACTCATAATGTCCTTTTTCTTAGCAAGTACAGTGCATTTCATTGACATAGAATTGCTGTACTGCCTAGCCAGTTCAACAACCCATTTACCATTTTCATGTTTACGAATGATCTTTGTTTTTCCCTCTATGGTCAACTTCACGTGTGTTTTTTTTAGGTTGAACCTTACCACTGACTTTCTTGGGATCCATGGTGTGGCATATAATAATTACTTTTATGTTTAGAAACAAAAAAAGCTGAAAAACTATGAAATTCTTTACAAAGAATTCAAGTACGCTCCTCACTATGTGGGAGACGCTGTTAAACTGAGGCGCGGTTGGCAGTTCCACCAGGAACCACACGCTTGGTCGACCCACACATGTATCAACAAACTCTCAACTTGAGGCAAAGCTCATAAATCGAATAAAATTTTAAGAAGAAATTGAGCTTGTAACTGGAAAAATTTGTAAATAGGAGCATTTGTAAGCCAAGGTTCCACTGTAGATAGTTAATTGAGTTGATGCTGTGATGCTGTATTTTGTATGATAAATATAACAATGTAAACTATATTTTTGTCTAACCCTGGCTTCCAGCATAATGTAATGCTGACAAATGCCAGAAGGAATGTTGACCACTGCTTACGCCAAAATAAAAGTGGATATGATTTTTTTCTGTTTGACAATTTTAATGACTTGTTGCACTTTGAAGATTGATAGTTTCTTAGTACAGTATGTACATGCATGATATTGAAATAATTGGCAGAGATTGTTCGTGAGACAACTTCTGGGATGGGGAGATTTCATTGAGTACAATGCAAACAATAGATGGAAAGTATACTTGCATTTTATTGGAATTACTTTTTGTAGGAGGGTCAAACACCCCTTCACTTAGCGACGGCAGATGACGTAAGAAGTTTATTACAAGATGCTATGATGAGTCAACCAAGTCTGACGCCTGCTGCCGGGGGAGCAGCTCCTCCAGTTTCTCCTGCATCACCCAAACCACCAGGAACTCCCTCTAAGACAGTCTCCCAATCAACAGTCTCTCCAGCACCATCTTTAATATCCATCAACAATATTGGGGCTGAAGGTATTTCCAATAGAGACGATAAACATGTACAGTATTAAGAGATGGTAGATCAAGTGGTTTTAGCAGGAAGTTGTTTGATGCAATAATCTTTTGCTTGAAATAAAAAAAATGAAGTATTTATGAAAGGGAGTAAAAATTTTAAAATAGGTAATGTGTGTGTGTATTCATGTGGGAGTGTGTGTAATTACTAGTTGTGTTTTGTGTATACGTAATTTACAGGGTACAGGAGCAGTAAGCTTGCCCTTGATTAAAGATTAAGAGGTGTACCTATCCCAGCATGTTTTAAAGCCCAACTATGGTTGTATGACCAGAAAATCTGATATTCTTAATTATTCAGGTACCCCAATTTCTCTTTGTTACAAGAGCAGATTTGTGGTTACGGTCCAAGCCTTTTTATGCTTAATTTATTGTAAGCATTTTCAAAAGTTACTATTTTTTTCTGAGGGGAGCCCTTGCAGCTCCCTGGAGCTATCAGGCTGTTATGTGTTATATTAGTCTGGGTCATCAGTCAATTGGAGTTCAGCCTACCAGGGACCACCAGCCAGAACCTGGCCCCCTCAGAGAGGCAAAGGGAGCAATGGCCTATAGAATCCCCATGTGGTTAAAACCCCCTCCCCCTCCCCCCCCCCCAAGTGGAAGGGGAAGGGGAGGGGGAGCACTGGACCACCCATGCCAGTTACCCAAGCCATACAGTTTGTTGGCTGATGTTGTCCGGGGTGCATGTTGACTCTGGCCTCAATATTTCTGCTCAGTTTACCTGGTTGATACCTGGTTGATGGGGGTCCTGGGAGTTTTTCTACTCCCCAAGCCTGGCCCGAGGCCAGACTTGACTTGTGAGAGTTTGGTCCACCAGGCTGTTACTTGGAGCGGCCTGCAGGCCCACATACCCACCACAGCCTGGTTGGTCCGGCACTCCTTCCTCTTGAAGATGTCCACGGTTGTTCCTGTAATATTTCTGATGCTCGCTGGTAGGACGTTGAACAACCGTGGACCTCTGATGTTCATACAGTGTTCTCTGATTGTGCCCATAGCACCTCTGCTCTTCACTGGTTCTATTCTGCATTTTCTTCCATGTCGTTCACTCCAGTACGTTGTTATTTTACTGTGCAGATTTGGGACCTGTCCCTCCAGTATTTTCCATGTGTATATTATTTGGTATCTCTGTCGTCTCCTTTCTAGTGAGTACATTTGGAGAGCTTTGAGACGATCCCAATAATTTAGGTGCTTTATCTCGTCTATGCGTGCCATATATGTTCTCTGTATTCCCTCAATTTCAGCAATCTCTCCTGCTCTGAAGGGGGAATTGAGTACTGAGCAGTACTCAAGATGGGACAACACAAGTGATTTGAAGAGTACAACCATTGTGATGGGATCTCTGGACTTGAAGGTTCTCGTAATCCATCCTATCATTTTTCTGGCTGACGCAATACTTGTTTGGTTATGCTCTCTAAATGTTTGGTCGTCGGACATCATTATTCCCAAATCCTTGACGTAAGTAAGCTCCTTTTTTCCTTATCTTTGGTGATGTAGCTCCAGGGAGCCATAGGGGCTTACCCCAGAAAACCAACGTTAAATGTAATGAAACACCATTTTCTGGATGAGCCATGGAGGCTTCCTAGCAACCCTTCCTCTCCTCCATCCCTCCCTCCCAGTCAGCGGTTCCGTTTTCCTTTGATGCTCAGCCTCCGAACTGGATGGCTTGGGTATCCATGTATATCAGACTTAACATGGGGGGTCTAGGGCTTCCCCCTTTCCCTCCTGGGGTGGGGGCTGCACAGACATGTAGTATTAATTGATGGTGAGGTGTGACGTTTGCTTGTTTGCTTGTTTCCTTAAGTTGTAGGGTGAATTCTGCTTCCCTGTTTGGTTTTTGGTCACAATTTCGTACTTAGTGGGGTTTTTGTTATGCCTACCTTTCTGGGTGCCAACCCCAGCCGATGGCAGACATGGAATGCCCCTAACCACACGGGGGTTTCTATAGGCCATAGCTCCATTTGCCTCTCTGAGGGGACCAGGTTCTGGCAGGTGGTCCCTGGTAGGCTGAACTACAATTGACTGATGCCCCAGACTAATATAACACATCAGCCTGATGGCTCCAGGGAGAATCCGGGGCTTACTCAGTAAATGGTGTTTCATTACATTCATCGCTGTTTTTTTTTTTACACTCCTTCCTCCTGGAGCCTGGTCCTTCTACACATCCTTCGAATTGTACTCCTAGATTGCAGGCGAGCAAGATGCATTATAATCTATTCCTGGAGAATATTAAGAGGTGCAGTTTTGAAAAAATTCCGTCAAAATATTTACTTAAGAGATCAGGAAGTATGGCAGAATATGCCCCTTAGAAAAGTAGGATTGTGATTTGTACTTGATATAATTCTATAAAAATTAAAGGCTCAAGGCTTTTCAACATCTTCCCTCTGAATATAATGGGGCATTACTAACAGACCTCTAAATGATGAAGAAGTTTGTTTTTCCTACTTTGGACTACAGTACTTGCACCCGTGAAAATCAGTCTAGTATATCAGACCTAACACTTTAACAGCCTGCACTCTCAACTGTAAATGTTCTGGGAGCCTGGTGACCCTGCTCAGCAACGCCTAAAAATTTTGAACAATACAAAGCAACAGGATTGGGTATATGATGCCAATCAATAAACATCCAGGACCACTGGAACCAAAATGGAAGTTAAGAGATGAAGAGATAGTAAAAGATGAAAGGAGTTCCAGTGAGACCACATACTCTTGTTGAGAGGAATGACCCAGGTTAGACACCAAGAGATCACCCACCTGCAGACTACAGCTGTATTTGAATGGTAATAGACCAGACTGGTGATACACACAGATTAGAGGAAAGCCTCTAATTATTGAGGGACATCTCTGGATCAGTCCGTGGATAGAGATGGTACTGTAGAAAAATGTACTAGATCTGACAATAGGCCAGAAGGGCTGGAAATAATGGCTGAGCTGGCTACCAGGCGAGCCAGAAGGATCCACTTCCTGCAAATGTCTCCAGTCTCAACAGCACCAGAAGCAGCAGCCAAACTGGGATGAATAGTGACAGGAAAACCCAATAACTTGAGTCAAGATGAAAAGTAACTTAGGCGAATGGTATTTGGTTTCGTGATCATTGTATTTGACCTTCATCTGTTTATTATAATGTTCAGCTGTACTTACTCTTGTTTATGTACCCTATATCTCTGGCAGTTTGTAGTTGTTGCCTCTTCTCTGGCAGTTTGTAGTTGTTGCCTCTTCTCTGGCAGTTTGTAGTTGTTGCCTCTTCTCTGGCAGTTTGTAGCTGTTGCCTCTTCTCTGGCAGTTTGTAGTTGTTGCCTCTTCTCTGGCAGTTTGTAGTTGTTGCCTCTTCTCTTGGTGTACGGACATGTACGAACGGACGTACGTTTATGTACGGACGCGTGCGCGCAGATGTGCAAGGATGCATATGCACGTGTATGGACGCATCCATACGCGTGCGTGTAAGGATGCGTACGAACGTATTACCTTTCCCCAAAAACAATAAATTATATATATATATATATTTTTTTTTTCAGTTGAAACGGTAATGATGCCTTCTGGTGCTAGTTTAACCTTTACACCTGTAATGTGCTCATCGCCGGGCATTGGTGACGGTTGCTGCGATCACTCCCGCTGCGAAACAACACCTGGCACTCCAGTTAATATGAGTATTGCCTCATTTTTAAACAGGTACATCACATTTTTTAATTTTATATTTATTAATAAGATTTCTTATTATTCATAAAGCATAAAATATATGCTTTCCAATTTGAGAATTGCTTTTAAATAAATTTGTTGGAGATATGCTAAAGAAATTTTTCCATATTTAAGAAATCCAAATGAAAATGTGCAACAGTTGTGTGGTGTTCACATCTCAAATTATTAATAATTAGAAAAATGCATGGAATACTACTGAATGGCTCCTAGACAAAACACGCGAGCTATGACGAGAGACTGAAGGCATTAAATTAAACTTATTTAACCTAGTCAGAAGATAGAGAAGGGATGTGATCACCATGTACAAAATTGTGACAGGAATCTATATATTGGTAAGATGTGATTTTTTAAAATACATAACATTGGAAACAAACCCCCACACTTTCATTCACTTTCACAATAATTATGCACTGTATTGCTGTGTAGAATTACAGAATAAAGATTCACCTTTATTTTTGTGTAGATTGTATATATAGACTGCCTATCTTTGCCTTCATTTCTTCTCAACAGTTTGGGTCTGGAACACCTGCGTGATATATTTGAGAGAGAAGACATAACATTGGATATCTTAGCAGAAATGGGCCATGAAGAGCTTAAAACCATCGGGATCAATGCATATGGCCACCGACACAAACTACTTAAGGGAGTTGAGAAGTTACTTATTCAACATAGTAAGAAATTTTCTTAAAGTAAAAAAATGGCTGACGTTTGTATGCATTGAATTTTTTATATATTAAGAATCTCTTATTTTGTTTTTGTATTTTAATTATGAATAACACTTTAGTGCTCTGATTTGTGTCTTGATTTAGAAGACTCTTGTTTAATGATTCTAATGTTAAAATTACAAAGAATAAGTTTATTTTTAAGCTATTTTATTTCTGAATGCTCAACTTAATATATTATAATGCATTTAATTTTTACATTTTTGTTATCAACAGATGGTTTAGTAGGGAGTGGATGCAGCAGTAGTAATGGTGGGAATGGATCATCACAAGGTACCTTACTGCTTGATCTGTGTCGAGAGGACAGAGAGTTCATTGCAGTTGAAGAAGAGATGCAAGCCACTATCCGAGAACATAGAGATAATGGTCATGCAGGAGGGGTCTTTTCCAAGTATAATATTGTTAAGGTAATTTAAATTCATTAATTTCCTAATAATAATATTAAGTAAAGCTTGAAACGGTAAACTTCTGCTCCTTAGGAGAACGGAAGTACAAATTTAATATTTTCTAGGCAATCCCTGAGCTAAGTTGCAATAATGGCTCACATGAGACCTACCCGTGTATCCATGGGCCGTTTAAATCGTGTGTGTAGTACTCCAAAACTGCATATGCAGTGTTGCGCACTTTTGCGTCAGTTACTCAAAACTTCATGTGCAGTTTTGCGCAGTTTAAGGGTTAATTATGACTAGCTACAAATACAGAAGAAAAGTGAAGGGAGAATTGCCTAACTAGCATATATTAACTCCAGGGATAGGATATTAATACTCAATACAGTAATTTGATATTTTCATACAGCATACACACTCTGTACTGTTATAAGTTTGTTTTATTCCAACCTTTGACTATTTGCAGTTATCAGTACCACATATTCTTGCACTTTTTTACATTGTTTTATTGAAAAAAATTTCGTCCAACATTTTACGCATTATTAAACAAATTAGTCAATGAAGAGTATTAAACCAAAATATAATATTCTGAGACATACAGAAAAAACACCTGTATTCTTTTTTTCTGACAGGTCAATTTTCCCCCCCCCCCCTTCTCTATTCACAACACAATTAGGAGGGTTTGAGCTGGTTTTGAGTGAAACATTTAGGTTTGAGTGAATTGTTTGCAGATTCATTTGGCTGTTTTGGTGCTTCATTTTCTGTGGACCTTGCAGTTGTTTACTGCTTCGCTCTCTTTCTGGATGTTTTCTCAGTGAAGGTCATTGTAACGATCTCCTTTTTCCTGTTCCTCTGTGAGGGGGGCCTGTTTCTGACTCTGTCCATACAGTCCATACAGGACTCCTAGGCTGATATGACTCTTTAGTGGAAAGCCATCTTGGTGAGATAGCGTTAGGAAACAACCAATGGCCTACCACAAAAAGGTATTTCATTACATTCAACTGAATTTTTTTCCCCAAGCTCTGTTCATAGCATTTATGCATTTTCTCCATCTTGTGGAATATTGAATTGTTGTTAGGCAATTATTTGTTAATTACTGGACCTGTATTTATATATTCTTTTTAATTTCCCAGATTCAAAAGGTTCGCAACAAACGTTTATGGGAGCGCTATGCACACCGGAGACGGGAGGTGGCGGAGGAAAGTAATGGGCAGTCTACAGAAAGAATGCTTTTCCATGGTTCTCCTTTCATTTCTGCCATTGTTCAAAAAGGCTTTGATGAAAGGCATGCTTATATTGGTGGGATGTTTGGTGCAGGTTAGTTACCAACTCTGTCACTAATCCACTTGAAGGTTTTGTCTTTTTGTTTTAAAGTATTTGCTTTAAAGAAACTGGTCTAGGATCATTGGGCTCATACAAAGGCTGCCTCTAATGAGTAAAATCTAGCCATATAGTTGCATGGTGTTTGCTCAGATCTGGAAATTAATTAATGATTTTGTAAAAAAAATTGTCTGCTTCTATGAACAGGAATATTGCTATGATGGTTTTATATGGATGGTTATATGTACTTATTTGCCTACCTATAAGAATTTGCATATTATATTTCTAATGAAAGTGAGAAACAGTTCTTTGGTTCCTGCAACCTAGCTGTTTATATCTGGTGCTTTCAAATTCCTTATCATTTGTTTCTTTGTTATATTGACTCTTGATGGTCCTCCTATATACAATAAATTGGAAAGGGCTGCCCTGGTCCACCTTGTTTATTCTCGGTACACTGTATTTTGTTTATCATATTCCACCTTCTCTCCTCCTGAGACGTTCAATTGAATTTCTTTAACCCTTTGGCTGGATTTCGACAGTAGCACTTGCCCAATGAAAAATAGTCCATGTCTAAAGTCAAGTTTTAGCAGATGTCTAGTTAATCCTTAAACTGCGCAAAACATCATATGATGTACTCGCCCAATTGTGCTTGCGGGGGTTGAGCTTTGGCTCTTTGGTTCCGCCTCTCAACTGTCAATCAACTGGTGTACAGATTCCTGAGCCTACTGGGCTCTTATCATACCTACATATGAAACTGTGTATGGAGTTAGCCTCCACCACATCACTTCCTAGTGCATTCCATTTATTAATTAACTGACACTGAAAAAATTCTTTCTAACATCTCTGTGGCTTATACCTCCTGTGGCTTATATCCCCTTCAATGTGGCTCTGTGGCTTATACCCCCCTTCAATGTGTGACATTGAAGGGGGTATAACTTGAAAAATATTTGAATTATGTAAAAATTACTTGAAAATTTTAAACAAATCTCCAACTTATTGGCTTCAGCTTCGTGAAACTTCTGCGGTTCGTTCTGGATTTGTCTCATCTGAACCCCTGGATTCCTTGCCCCTCCTTTCAGATGACCACTCTGTCTCAAGTTTGGCTTCTTTTGGAGCTGGGTGCTTGGATTGTGTGTGTGGACCTCTAGGACACGTATTGGCATGTTCCCATTCATTTGGGGTTCAGGGACTGGTTAGGTTTCGTGGGGGGGCTTACTGATTTCGTTGCCTTCCTTTTGGTTTGAATATGGTACCTTGCATTTTCACACATTTTACCCGGGTCATGGTGACCCGTCTGCGTCTGCTATTGGTTCGGTTTCTGGCCTACCTTGACGACTTGTTGGTGTGGGCTCCCAGCCGGTCTGCTCGTCTGCTCTGCTTGAAAATTTTTTATTTTTTTCTACCCAGTTTAGACCAAAGGAACGAATTGAACTGAAACAAAAGTGCCACAGCCAAAGGGTTAATAATTGAAGAGGTTCAATCAACTTACATGTACGACATCAGTAATGTGAGAGAGCTTAACTGAAATAGGTTAATGGTAATGAAAAAATATCACCCTAGAAGATAGTCCGTAAGTATTAATTTACAGTATGGTCATTATTCTAACTGTTATTGATCTATCTGAAGATACTCACTAAAGTTCAACATTAATTTTCAGGTATCTACTTCGCTGAACACTCTTCTAAGAGCAACCAATATGTGTATGGTATAGGTGGTGGCAGTGGGTGTCCAGTGCACAAAGACCGATCTTGTTATTCTTGTTACAGGTAATTTAGTGGCTTTAAATTTTTGTGTGACTAAAACAAAAATTTGGGTGTTGTAAGTTTGTCCCCCCCCCCCCCCCTCATGGAATGGCATGGAAGCCAATTACAATTTAACAAATAGGGATTTATGGTCTCATAGCTATTGTCAGAATAACATTTCTTGCACCACTTCTGACCTCCACTCAACAATAAAAAAAAAAAAAGCATGAACAGCAAAAAAAAATGGGGGAAAAAATTATGTTCCAAAATGATACATTGTTTTCCATAAAATGGACTCCCATCTGGGACTTTGCTCACTTTCTAATAGATGGTAGGTAGTCAATGCAATGCAGTCACATGAACTTAGGTGAATGGTGCCTCATGGTTTGGCTGGTCTTGGCTCTGCCAGGTGTATGTGATGTAGGTTCAATGTATGTACAGTATCTAGTAGCTGAAAAACAACAGCACATTAAAGTTGGATACTGATGTTTCCAGTTCAATTTCTCGTTGTGTGTTACCTGCGTTCAACACAGTGACTTCAGCCCATCCTCCTGTTTTGGTAGTACTGTACATATAGGAAGGATGAGGACCATAGTACATATACCAATGTACAGCGCAATTAGAAAGAAGAAATTGTTAATATTGAATTTGGACAAACCGGAAAACATTTTCTACTTATGTTGCAAAAACAGACTAACCAAACCTTCCTCTGCCTAATACATGCTATTTGAGGCCTGATATAGTACATGTGTGTGCTATACTAGACCTAGGAATATTTAAGTTTGTTTTTTGTTTAATTGTTTCAGATTCTATAAAGTGAATAGTACAAAGTTCTACAATCTAATTGCTTAGTACATCAATGTTTATACTATGGTGCACATAGTTACAAAGAGTACTGTCTAAACAAGAGAATGGGCTGAAAACTTCAGCCAAGTTTCTTGTACCATTTAAAACATTGTGTACGCATTCCACCTCCCCATCATCTTTCGGTGTTTTCTATGTTTTCTGTTTGTTTTCTATGAAACATATGTGTGTTATAGTCTAATATAGCATTTTGGTTGCAAACCTTATCTTTGGTCTTGAAGTTCTGCTTCCCACTGTCTACTAACTTTATATGAATGGTTGAAATAATGCACACATGCTTATCTTTCCGTTTTTGTGCCAACAGTTTGTCAGTTTTTCTAAGCTGGTACCAGTAATTGCCTTCCTAATGCTTGGCTCAAAGACAGGTATTTGCCTCCTGCCTGCATTCAACATGCCACATGTTTCAGTTGAGCTTTCTAGGGTTAATAAACACATGGGGTGATAATTACTTATCTTCACCACTGATGCCAGAATAAATTAACCAGCTGTTGAATTAATGCAAGTGATACCAGGCAAGAATATCACCGACTTCGGAGTGCTAACAGTCACTTTGAACTTAATTTATTTCAATTAAATTAACCTTATCCCCAGGTTATAACAAGCCTGGCCTTCTAACACAATAATGATTTAATAAAATAAAGGAATTTAAAGTGTTATTTCATTGTGAGTACTCTTGCAATACTGTAATGCAGTCCTAAGTGACAGGTAGTCCCAGTACCTTCTCTGTGTTCTTAATCTTGTGTCTATACCATCACTGACGTCTGACTCCAACTCACGTGGAGTGATGTCCCTCATTTAAAATTACAATGATAATGTAAACATCATTTAGACATGTAGCACTTGCCAATCTTTCACACTATTTTATTTTAACCTTATTTCTGAACACAAAATTAACCCGTTACAGGCAACTACTTTTGTGCCGTGTGACATTGGGGAAGTCATTCCTTCAGTTCTCGGCAATGAAGATGGCTCATGCTCCTCCTGGCCACCACTCTGTTGTGGGGCGACCCAGTGCTGGGGGCCTGTGTTACCCAGAATACGTTGTTTATAGGGGAGAACAGGTAAGTAATGCAGTTTTTCTTTTCACTTTCATCAATGTAACCTAGTTAGTAAACTGTGTGTCAGTTAAAGTCAAGAAAATCTAGACTTAATGATTCTGAACCAATTCCAATCTTTTATATTGATAGCACAAGTACTATCAGTGATAGTACTCAGTACTCACTTTCCCTTTTAGAGCAGGGAGGTTGCTGAAATATGGGGAATACTGAGAACACACATGGCACACACAGACGTGATAAAGCACCTAAATTATTGAGACCATCTTAAAGCTCTCAAAATGTACTGTCTTGAAAGATAACAAGAATATATCCCATAATATATGCATGGAAAATACTGGAAAGTCAGGTCCCAAACATACACAAGATAACAACTTAAAAGTGGTAGTAATATTAGTAGGCATCTTTCAGTCTCGGGAGACTATGGAGTTGCGCCCTGGTTGTCAATCCTGATGCAGCATCTGGTGTGACTGATGAAGCCAATTCGAGAGTGGCAGTCCATCCCACACTGAGCACAAACGAAGTCCGATTCTGGTCTGTCTTCCTGGCTACCGGCTTTCCTTCTCTGTCTCTTTGCCTCTGAATTCTTGGCAAGTGACTCCTCGAACTTGAAGAGACCTCTTTGAACAGACTGCCCCCAGGCTGAACGGTCTGCAGCCAGTGTCTCCCATATAGCAAGATCGACGTCCATGGCTTTCAGGTACCTCTTGCATACATCTTTGTACCGTAGCTGGGGCTTGCCTGTTGGACGCTTTCCCTGCATCAGCTCTCTATACAGGAGATCCTTGGGGATCCTGCCGTCGCCCATTCGCACAACGTGCCCGAGCCAGCGCATTCGTCTCTTGTTTTAGCATTGTGTACATGTTGGTGACTCATGCTCTCCTCAGGACGTTGTTGTTTGTCACCTTGTCCTGCCAGGTGATATCCAAGATGTGTCAAAGGCGGCACATGTGGTAGGCATTCAGCTGTCTTTCCTGATGGGTGCGGAGTGTCCAAGACTCGCTGCCATAATGGAGAGTGCTCAGGACACAGGCTCTGTAAACCTGAATCTTTGTATACTCAGTCAGCCTGTTGTTGGCCCACACTCTCTTTGTCAGTCTGGACATGGTAGTAGATGCCTTATCGATGCGTTTGTTTAGCTCTGTATCAAGAGAGAGGGAGTCAGAGATTGTGGAGCCCTGGTACACGAAGTTGTGAACGACTTCCAGTTTGGAATTGGAAATGCCGATGTCAGGTGGGGAGTCCACGCCTTGTCCCATGACTTGTGTTTTCTTCAGGCTCATGGTGAGTCCGAAAGCCTGACAGGCCTCCCTGAAGCAGGTCATGAGCCGTTGGAGGTCTTCGGCTGAGTGGGCAGTGACTGCTGCGTCGTTGGCAAAAAGGAAGTCGCACAGACACCTCAGCTGAACCTTCATCTTGGCTCTCAGTCTGGCGAGATTAAAGAGCTTTCCATCCTACCTGGTCTGGAGGTAAATGCCTTCCGTGGCAGATCCCAAAACGTGCTGCAGCATAACTGCGAAGAAAATCCTGAATAGGGTTGGAGCCAGTACGCAGCCCTGTTTTACTCCACTTCGGATGTCAAAGGCGTCTGATGTTAGGTCATCAAAGACCACGGTGCCCCTCATGTTCTCATGGAAAGATCTGATGATGCTGAGGAGCCTGGGTGGGCATCTGATCTTGGGGGAGGATCTTGAACAGGCCATCCCTGCTGACGAGGTCGAAGGCCTTCGTCAGATCTATGAAGGCTACGAAAAATGGCTGCTTCTGTTCCCTGCATTTCTCCTGCAGTTGTCTGAGGAAAAAGACCATGCCAATGGTGGACCTGTTGGCTCTGAATCCGCATTGTGATTCTGTATAGACTCTCTGCAAGTACTTGGAGCCTCTTCAATGTGACTCGAGCAAACAGCTTTCCAACAATACTGAGGAGGGAGATTCCACGGTAATTGTTGCAGTCGCCCCTGTCACCTTTATTCTTATACAGCGTGACGATGTTGGCATCCCTCATGTCCTGTGGCACCTCTCCTTCTTCCAAGCACAGGCAGAGAATTTCATGCAGCTCCATGAGCAGGTTACCTCTACAGCACTTTAAGGTCTCAGCAGGAATGCCATCTTTGCCAGGAGCTTTGCCAGAAGCAAGGGAGTCTAGGGCCTCGCTGAGTTCTTCGAGGGTCGGTTCGCTGTCGAGCTCCATTAACACAGGCAGGCACTCAATGGCGCTCAGGGCTTCTTCGGTGACCACATTGTCCCTGGCATATAGCTCAGAGTAGTGCTCGACCCAGCGCTTCAGCTGCAGTGTCTAGTTCTGAATCACCTCGCCAGTGGCAGATTTCAGAGGAGCGATCTTCTTCTGGATTGGGCTGAGGGCCTGCTTGATGCCGTCATACATTTCCCTTACATTGCCTGTATCCGCTGCAGTCTGTATCTGGGAGCAGAGCTGGAGCCAATAGTTGTTGTCACATCGCCTGGCGCTCTGCTGCACTTTGCAGCGAACGGCCCGAAAGATCTGTAAGTTGCGCTGACTTGGGTAGGCTTTGTAGGCTGCCAAGGCGTTTCTCTTCTCTTCGACAACAGGCGTCATCTCTTCAGAGTGAGCCTCGAACCAGTCTGCCGACCTGCTGGTCTTCTTGCCAAAGGTGGAAATGGCAGCGTTGAACACAGCATCTCTAAAGTGCTCCCATCTTTTACAGGCAGTGACCCCGACTGGGCCAGGGAGAGCTTCCTCGAGCACATGTGCAAAATCTTCCACCTTGTCCTGGTTGCGGGTCTTGGTGGTGTCGATGCGAGGTCTGCCCGCCTTTTTCGAGTGATGAATCTTCTTTGTTTGTATCTTGACCCTGCTACATACCAGGGAGTGGTCGGTGTCACAGACAGCGCTCTGGTAGCTACACGTAATCTTGACACTGGGTAGACTGGCACGCCTGGTAAGAATCGGGTCAAGCTGGTGCCAGTGCTTGGATCTGGGGTGTCTCCAAGATACTTGGTGTTGAGGCTTTGTGTCGAAGAACGTGTTGGTGACACAGACCATGAAGGCAGCAGAGTTCTAGCAGACGTTGCCCGTTCTCATTCATCCTCCCTTTGCCGAATTGACCCAGACAAGTGAGCCAAATGTTGTGCTCGGCACCCACTCTGGCGTTGAAGTCGCCGAGGATGAACAGTGGCTCCTTTACAGGGATTCTCGCTATGACTGTTGAGGTCATCATAGAATTTTTCCTTTGCCTCTGCTGGAGAAGTCAGGGTTGGTGCTTATGCACTAATTACATTGACTGGTCCTGTTTGGGAGTGCAGTTGCAGAGACAGAATTCGTTCGGTTTTCCCCGTCGGTGGCATAATGTGTCCCAACAGTGCATTCCTGACAGCAATCCCACACTATGTTCTCTGGTCTCATCTGGAGGTTTTCCTTGCCAGAAGAAAGAGAAGGCCCTCTCTCTCACAGATCCTGATCCTGGGAGCCTGGTCTCTTGGAGAGCAACAATATCTGCAGTTTGCTCAGCTCCCTATCGATGATTGCTGTTTTTCGGGCGTCATTGATTTCTTGCAGGTCGTCAGAGAAACCTGGTGTCAGTGTCCTGACATTCCATGTGTCCAGCTTTAGGGCAATTGATATTTTCTTTTTAGGTTTGATATTGCTTGGTGCAAAGTTGTCGGGCCGCTTGTCGGTTTTCACCCTAAACCCCACACACCCAGTGAGTTTAACAGATCGTGGCGAGGCAAGACCTTATTGGCTGGGGTTTGCCCAGCTTGAGGCGGGCAGTAGCTGCCCAGTGGGGCGCGATGACCCCTCCCACCGTCTGAAGCAACCCCTGGCGTCACACTCTTCGCCAATCGAGCAGAAGACTTAAAACCGGTAGACTGTCGCTTCCCGTGTTCGACGCTGTGGGGCAAAGCTGGAGTGTCCTCTCCAGGGCGCAAAGCCTGGGTAGGTAGATATGGAGGAGAAGCTGTTACCCATGCAGCAGGTCCCCCCCTCCACGTTGCTGAAATTATTCAATGGAAAGGCAAATGCCAATGCACATGGTTCCAGCACCGTCGCAGGAGCTGCCAGGACGAGGTCGAAGTCAATAATGAACTGCCTTAGGGGCTCCAACTCAGGATTTTTCCTCGAGGTTGACTCCTGAAGCCTTTTCCAAAAAAGGGGTATGGCCGCAAGGCAGCGGAGGTTTAAAATCAGGGTTTTCCTTCCCTTAGATGGGCAGCCTTCTCAGGCTATCGAGTCCCCATCTACCCGGAGCAGCTGGTTTTAAGGCGCCAGAGGCACGCCCTCACCCCTTCTGTCAGTAAAAGCAGTTCCGCTGGACTTAAAGACTAAGCCACCTGTGCAGGCCAGGAGTTGGACTTGTTTGTCAGAGACTATTTGAGACGTATGCCATATAGGAGCATTTTATAGGTCATGGGAGCTCGTCCCCCATTACCACCCCCTGACTATGACAACCCCTTGGAACCAACTTACAGGTAGTAAATGTAAAATAAGCCCAATGAAGATTAAGAGGTGCTATTGGCACAATTTGGGAATTGTGTATGATGAACAAATGAGTTCCAGGGCTTTTCAACCTCCTCCCACCAAATATAAGAAATATTGCAAGAACACAGGAGGTGTGTTTCAAACATCAATTGAATGCAGGATATGCCAGACCAACCAGGTTGGTCTGGCCACATTGGTTGGATGTGGGGCATGAGCCACCCAAAGCAAGAGGTCATATGCTTGGCAAATGGAACACTTGGAACTGACTACTGGTACAAGCTGCTAATGTGGATGTGTCCCAGCAGGCTGGCTCAGTGGCAGCTAAACAGTCTGCACTGTAACATAAACTGTTCATAATTCATTAGAGGGCCTACTGTACTTTGTTTTCTAGTATAGATATTATCAAAGAGTTTTCTTTGTACAGGTATTTCAGCAATATTGTTTATTACCCATAATGCACCTTTCTTGGTGTCTACCCCATGTGTAAATCTATGTAAATATTTGGAAATGGTCTTCAACAAAAGGCTATAATAAGAGGGTATTTATATTCTTTTTCTAACTTGGCAGGCTTACCCAGAGTACCTCATCACTTACCAGATTGTCAAACCAGAGGAGTCGGGCCCAAAAGAAGATGCTGCTCGAGACAATGACTGACCAGCATTGATAGTAAATACTTGTAATTACTCAACAATTATTGGTGATAAAGTGATAAAATAATTTCCGGACAGCATTTATGAAAGAACATTTAATTCCTCCTTATAGAAATGACTGATCATCTTACCGTCATCTGTGGTTGGTTGAATATTAACACATACTAGTGCAAGTGGTTGTGATGTGTGATAGTTACAGTGAAAACTTTGTGAGGCTGCATGTAATCCTGCCAAGCAAGAAGTTCTCAGAAATATTTTAAAAATAAATTGATGACTAAAGGTGTGAAGCCTGAATAATGTTCGACATAGTGACTGGGGAACACTAAAACATCCCTCTTGTGGGTTACTTCACGAGAGCCCATAATGGGGCTTAATCACTCATACTTAGTCATTCCATGCCGTTAAATGCAAAGTGATTTTATAACTGAACGTATATTTCATTGTGAATTTGTGTAGAGTATTGTGTGTTTATCTAACACTGCAAGAAAACTAATCATGGGTATAAAGCTAATTTTAAGTTTTTCATTTATGGTGTGTGGAGCTTATGATGACATTAGTATTGGTTTCTCTTGCTAGTAAGTCTGTGGTACAAACCAGAGTAAATGGCTGTTCTCTTTTGAGTTAGGTTTATGTAACTGGACTTCAAATGTGATCTTGTTTAGAAATTGTCTCGTCTATTTTTTCCATGGTGTAATTGAAGTTTGTTGTTTGTAAATAAAAATTTTGCATTTACTGCAAAATGCGTAAATTGAAATCGAGCAAAATTTAAGAGGCATTCATATCGGGGGGTTGGCATTACAGAACCTTTTATTATATCTGGTTCTTACATAGATGAAATAACAAAGTGTTAGTTATGTTAACACCACAACCCTTCCTCTTAAAAATAACATCGCTTTTCGCTTGTATGCACTCTATGCATGGCCAAAAATGGACGTTATTTTGAAATGAAATTGGTTCACAAAAGTGATGTACTCTCCCGTTTTCTGCGGGTCCTCTGGCTTACTCGGTAAGATTAGGAAAGGAAACTTTCAATTAATGTTTTTCATGACGTTTTGAAACTTTAGGCTTTCTTGCCCTCCTAACATACCAGAAAACCCTTAACTTACTGTTTTGGGAAAAAAAAAAATTCAATTTTTTTTTAAATTTCAAATCACGTCCATTTTCGGCCATACGGGTAAATGGCCAAATTCAGACGTAATTTGTAAGAGGATAGGTTGAACACCAAGAGGATAGCTCTTCTAATGCAACAATTATATATCTATATTTAAATAACTATTTATTTCTCAGTTTGGAAGACATCAAAATCTATTCCTGTGTACCAATTTGAGATTGAAATATTGATATATATACCTTAAGGTATTATTAGAATTCCCTGGTAGGAACACCTTGTGGTTTTGTAAACAAAATTCTGGGGGTTTCGATTAAATATTTCTGTATGCCTTATTATTTTGATTCTGAACTAAATATTTATTTGAATTATGGTTGTTTTTCATGAAACTAAAGCGATGTTTCCCATAGTAACAGTGTGTTTTATCATGCCTTGATAAAACCTCACAAGCCTTGAAAACTAAAACTCTTAAGTATACATAATCATAAAACGGCTTTCTTTTATTTTTGGGCTTCGTAGCTTAATAACAAAGCAGAGGGTTAAAGTACCTGTACCATGATCCAGTTTTTTATTTAAATGTGAAGGGATGAGTCCATAGAGTTTTATCACAGTTTGGGGGTGTCTTCCTTACATCCCATCTGCCTCACTTCCTGTCAGCCAACGCTAACTGCACACAACCCCCTCTAGTGACCCCTCCCACAACCCCTAGTGATCCTTTCCAAACACCCTGTGATGGGCTTTGTTTTGAACTAATTACTATGTCCCACCTCGCCTGACATGTGTCCTCCAGGGACCAGTACCCAAAGTGATCGCCCACCTCCAATAACCTCTCTTACACACGCAAACGCGCGCGCACACACCTTGCGGCTGAGTGGACAACGCTCTGGGGTCCTAGTTTAAAGGGCTCGGGTTTGATCCCCGGCCTAGGCAGAAACAAATGGGCAGAGTTTTTCACCTTAGTGCCCCTGTTCACTTAGCAGTAAATAGGTATCTGGGAGTTACAGCTGCTTCCTGGGAATGTGTATGTGTGTGTGCACGCATGTGTTAGAGAGAAATATGTGGTATTGTAGATATAATAGAGGAAAAATAAAATTGGTTAGAAAGGCAGGGTCCAAGAGCTAATAACTCGATTCTGCAGATATAAATAGTAAATACACACTAAAGATCCTCCCCCCCACCCCCACTTTCAAGTGACTCCCTTACTACATACCCGCCTCGTACAGTATCATCTTACACCAACCATTCAGATCTATCTTACCTATGTCCTTGCTCTCATGGTTGTCTCCCTCCATTAACTGCCTTCCAAAACATAACGAGTTCTCAAAAAATAATTTTGTCGAAGTTCAGTATTATTTACACATTTTGCTGGACAATTATAAGTGATTTTACTAGAACATTTGCTGCGTGATGCAGTTGTCCAACCCGTCCTCTTAAAAATGTCACTTTTGGCTGGTATGCGCGATATGGCTAAATTTGGACGTAATTTGAAATGAAATAGACTCACAAAAGTGACGTTCTGTTCCGTTTTCTATTTGAGTCGTCCGGCGTACGCGCAGAGGTTATAAGAGGACACTTTAAATTAACGTTTTTCATAACGTTTTAAAACTTTATGAGAATTTCCTGTCCACCTAACCTATCAGAGGACCCTTAACTTACTGTTGTTGAAAAAAAAATCCCAAATTTATTTTCATATTTTTTCATTTTCAAATTACGTCCAAATTCGGCCATACGGGCAAACGGCCAAAAGCGACGTTCTTTTTAAGAGGACAGGTTGAGTTGTCATCCTCACTCTATTTATTTTATCCTCCTTTTATATACTCTACATGCAGGGGGTAGGCAAGTAGTGAGTTATTGAGGACACTTGAAATTGGTTTTATCTTCCAATAGAAATTGTTAGTATTAAATTTGCATATAAAATTCTTAAAATATGTAATTCTAGTTATAGAACGTATAAAATGAATTTAAGCTTTTTCACAAATACTGTAGCCACACTACAGGGAATCCTAGAACATGGCTGTGAAAAGAAATTATCTGTGAAAACAATAAGAACTATTATAAGTAGAACACTGGCTCCATTACCTTTATTGCTCACTTGTCCTCAACTTCTTTCGTTATTAAATTTTAGCTTGAATATCAAACTTATTTAAATATAAAATTGTTGACTAGTAGTTTATCCTTCAGTGCTGCTAACATGCAGTTTTTAAATTATTATACAAAATTAAAATGTTAATTTTATTCAGTAAGCCGGGATAAATTATTTTGCCAGACATTACAGCAGAACAGTAATCCTAATATGTTACTGTTTTATCTTGTGTACTTTTCCTCTCTCTAAGATACAAGTTTAGTAACTGGAGCTCGAGAACTGTTGTCAGGAAATACTAGGCACTAAATATTTTATTTTTACTTTAGGACTTGGAAAAATATAATCACAGTAACTGAATTTTCATAAATTTTGCTCATAAGAAACTGCAGCGTTGAAGCTTCTAATTTCAGTTGGCACTGCTATCTCAGGACAGCTACATATAATTTTGTGAGCTCTTTAATGTTAATATGTCTTTCATATATTTTCTACATCTAATGTCCTGTGATATTTTTGTTGTATATGATGTACCCAGTGAATGAAAGAAAACTATTAATATTTTTTCTCTTTGTGACTTTCCAAATAAAAATTAACTTTTGTAATGAAACTATCCCGAGGAGCTTAGGTTTATTCTTGCTTGAATCTCACTATTGTGTTCCTTTGTCATTGTTGTAATGTGGAAGCAATGAAGAGCTCTAATGTTAACTGTCCTTACTCTGTTGCTTCAGTTACATCATGTTGATAACTATATTTTTGTAATTGTTTCACTACCACATTCTAAATACAGATTATTAACAGTTACTTCAGGGGTATGGTTGCTAGCTAAAGTTTCTCAATGTACAGAAAATTACAAATAAAGTTGTGAACAAAAATCCTCACATTTGAGTGAAGGATCTGGCCTGAGAAAATTAAAGTTGGTTGCCTACTTTGTTAGTGGTCTTTTAATTCTTGTACATGTTTGTGTTTTCCAAAACATTTTGATGTGTTCTCACAATTGTAGAAATTAAAGCAACCAACCTTCAGTTACAGTAGTTCTCTTGCCAGAATGTTTTCAGGTTCTGCCTTGGTGGGACCACTAACAGAACACTTTCTAATACCCCAGCCTCCACTTTATGATGTATTTTTGTTTTCCTTGGTTATATAATGTAGATTTTTCTCATTTTTGTACAAATCCATGTAAATACTGTGATATCATAATTTTTACTGTGTAAATATCTTCAATAAAATGTGAAATGTTAAATGACTTTGGGATAAAAATGATAAGCTGCAAGTAAATTATTTTGCATGTCATCCTGCCCCCCTCCCTCTCCTGATACACAGCTCTGGCAATTAAATATTTAACTCCTGTTGTCAAAGTAGGTCTGTGGGAGGTAGATACATTGAACAAAGTGTACCAAGGAGAGCCATGAATTTGAATTTGGCCTACAGTGAATTATTGATGTAAAATTAGCTACATTATACAGTATATCAATTTTGATAAGGATGCCAGCATTAAATTGGTAGTGGTCCTAAAAGATATATTACATGTACACTGAAAAGATTGACACTCAACGTCTCTAGAAGACATGTGCCAATTAGTGTCATGCAATTAGTATCTGAAGATCAGCTCTAACAAGTTTCACTGTAGGGTGACATTCTGGTTTCTCAGTCTCCTGCTCAGGCTGTCGAAAGTATCCAGGAGCATTAGGTGATAGGGAACAGGCCCAACCATTTGTCTTGCTTGGAATTCTTGATCAAGAGTCGAGAACAAAATCGGCTATACCGGGACCCTAATATATGTAAACTGGTTTAATCACTACAAGACCATTGCAATAGCTTTAAAGCTTTTGCAAGAACCCTTTAAAGTACTCATTTATTCCTGTACCAAACTTTGACTGCTTTCACTGTTAATTAGCCTTTTACTGCACAGATTGTCTGCTTTACCCATTTGAGCCTGTTCCATCTCCCAGAAGCAAGACTTTGTCCCCTGCAAATTACCTCGAGACCAAAAAAGCAGTATATAACCGAGCCAATGTAATTTATCTTATTGGTCGTACAATTTCTTTCGATAAAAAAAGTACAGCAGCAAACGACCTGCATGAAAAGCATCACTAATGTACTGTACTTTCAATTTTGACATGGATAGCCGTGAGACTTTCAAAAATCGAATTGGGAAGGAGAGATAATGGTTCTAGAATCCATACAAAGTACATGCTAATCACTCTGATCTTGCAGACACAATTGGCCTTGGCAAAACTCATCAAGCAAGGTGTGTTTCAAATATGTAATGCTAATTTCAAGACATGGGTAGGGAGATAATGGAGATTTTGTAATATCATTGGGGCTGCAGCCATAGTGGTAAAGGAATAAATAGAGTAGGCAAATGAGTATTGAAATAGCACAACCAAGTGTAAAGGGTTGAATTTGCAGGCAAGAAATGGTGTAGATTACGAAGTTCATTTGTGACCGACACCAACTGTGATAATGCCACCAAAGCACTTAACGAATTCGTGGCAAAACGAATGACTGCAAGCTACACAGAGAGCTGCAACACTTAAAGCAAACAGCACATGCAATCTGAATTCTACTGTGGAGTGCACTTTTGTGTCCAGCACAGAATGGAGTAGAGAGCAAGTAAAGTTAGTTGAATGAACGTGGGATAGGATATATATATATGATATGCAGGGAATACAGGCAAAGGTTGTAAAACTGCCTACTGTTAAAATGCTACTGACAGTGATAGATGGATTAAAAGAAATTTGGGACAAAATGTGAAAGTATTCACTTAATATATGTTACTTTCATCAATGTGCATTTTTTTTTTTTTAAGATTTTAGTTTTATCTCCTTTATTTATTATCTGATATCGTTGTAAACTTTACATCCTGGAAAGTGCATACCCTTCCCTATGTGAAGATTGATTTGTTTGTTGACCAATTTTATTCTGTCAACTTGCAGAACTTGGGACTTTTATTTTTTTTTTTTTGGCTGATTTTTTCAATTTCAATTTTCTTTGTCTCTTTAGGTTGTTTTGATTAGGGACCAGATTAGGGCTTTTTCACTTATATAAAGTATACTCTAAATCATTATAATTATTATAATAATCCCTATATTTTGTATTTTTGGGGTTATTTTTTCTTGACTTCATTTCAACACTTATTGACCTACAACTTTCACATATTCATGTACGAATGCCAAGCAATGTTTATTAAAACCTACAATTAACTTAACGAATTAGAACTACCTCCATTCATTGTCGAGAACTTCAACTTCAGTTATCTCTGAAACTATAGTTTCAACTTTGAATGGCTTCTAAAATTCCAGTTTGATTCTCACCATTTTGACTGTGCTCAGCTGTTCTACAATCCCTCCAAAATAGATTTTTTTCATGAACCCTTTATGTTTGGAGTTATAATTTATTTTTGTCTAAATTTGCCACATATTTCAAATACAATATTTACAATTTTTTTTACAGTAAATTATAATGAAAATCTATATTCTAGTTCGATAAAAATGAAAATCATGTTATTCTGAAAGCATAATAACACCAAATGAACAATTGGTGACATTTTATAATTTTGAAGCTCATTTGAAAACGAAGTTTTTAACATTCAATTTTTAAATTTTTTTATTTTCTTGTTTTTCAAGTTACGTTGTGATCATTTAGACAAAGTTGGAACATTTGCCTAGTTGATTATGCACAAAAAATTGGAAAGTGTTTGTGCAAGTTTGAAAAACTTTAGTTATGTCAAATCGTATCTAAGTTTTGTGCGGTTTAAGGGTTAAGGTTGTCAAGGCCCTGCCAACCCAGGTCCAAGTAAATGATACTACATAGAGTGAGCATGGGTACAGGAACACAAGCAAGTCTGTTCACCCATATTTAAAGTCAGGTGAAGAAGAAAAAAAAAGCGTAATGCTTAATGTCAACAAGAGAAATTGAAAGGCTAAGACTGAGATAAATAGAAAATATCATTTATTTGGGAAGATAAGTGCAACAGTGGAAAGAACATTCTATGATAGTAACAAGAAAGGGAACATCATTCCAGATTAAAAGAAGCAGTGGTGCTAAGATAACCACTAAAAGGAAGGTGACAAAAAAAAAAAAGGTATAACCGCAGGAGACTAGGACGTGTGCCAAGCATTAGTTCCTGGAGAACAGGGAAAACTAACATTAATACTGAAGCTCAACAATTTGCAAAAGTCAACTAAATGAGCAGGAAAAACCAACGGTAACTAAGGTTGGGAACTGAAATTGGGGTCAGGTGATACAGGTAAGAAAGGCTGGGGAGGCTCAAGGAAAGCACTTGACAAGGTCAGTGGAGGCAAGAGGCTTAGTATACAGAGCAGCACTGGAACAGAGATGGGTGCCAGAATGAGAAGGATCAGTGGAACAGACCGAGATCAAAGCCTCTTTGGTCTTTGCTAGTTCCCCTTCCTATCCTAATGCTTTAGGCCAGTACAACATGGCATAGAGTGGAAAGGTGTAATAGATGCAATGTAATTTGTGATGTTTGCAATGTCTTCAACTAAGGAAGAATGTAGCCCATCCTCCGAAAATAGAGGTAAATGTAACAGCACAAGTGCAATTTTGTACTATTCATAGCAGTCAGGAATTGTACTTATTTTACTTAGTATTAAACCATACTGTTAAATATATTGTGAATATTTGAGTTTACCTGAAAAGCTGAACAGAAAACTACAACCTAACCTTCTTAGTGTTTGAAGATAAGCATTTTATTGCTTCTTAATTACAGTTAGCACAACCTATAGCTATATTGATATATTTTAGTTTTAAAAAACTGTAATATCAATGAATTGTAAAGTAACTCGGAATATTTTCAAATTTTGTATAAAATCTATTGTTTAATAAAATAAAAAAAAATTCCTGATATTTAAAACTTGTGTACAAGCAAATTGAACCTGAAAACTTCATCCTGAAATTCTGAGCGTCTTAACAGAAAACGAGGAGAATAAATGGGGAGGTAAATGTAACAGCCCCATAAGTACAATTATGTACTATGTATGACAGGAAATGTACTTATTACACTTAGTATTAAACTGTACTGTCAATTCAGAGGATGGGTTGCATAATATCTGGGATGAGGGTAGACATCAGCTGTAATGAGAATGGTTGAAGGCAAAAAGGCAAAAAGAGGAGGACAGTAGAGAAAAACAGACGAGGCCTGGAGGGAGTCCTTTTTATCAGGAGGGTTTAGACACAGGACTAGGAAACAGGATCGAGCAATGAGGGCCTTTGGAGGAAGGGAAGTGTATGTCAGGAGGGAAGTGGGGGCACCTATTAGCAGACTGTGTAAGGGTAGGAAAAGAAGGCAGTGCAGTTAAGTTCTCAAAAGAAAGAATCTGGAAACTATGAACACTAAACTTACTTAGTTTATACCTGGTAAAATCTCGAGCAGGAAAAGAAATAGTTATTCACAATTTTATAATATTTAATGTACATAAACTTAAAAATAACCACACCATCAGAATATTCTCATTGTTAATACGATTTACACTTCGTAAGGTTCCAAAAATTTGAAAATTTTAAAATAAATGTACAATACTGTACTTTCCTTTCAATTGGTTTATATACTTTCATAAAGAAGACGACTGTACAGAAAAGATTACATGGTCTAGCTAAACAAAACGCCCACAGACAGCAGCTGAAGGAAACAATATTTAGTCTACATTTCCTTTTTAGCGTTAATATGCAGCTCTGGCTTGATGTGTCTCACAAGCAGCAAAATACGCTCGATCACCTGCAAAATGTAATTTGGTTTGTAAGTAATTTTCAAATAAAATGTTTAAACTGTTATGACTAAAAAAATTCAAGAGGAAATGTGGCAATTTTAACTACAATAATAAAATCTCAGAATAATTTAACCTGTTAGGCCAATGAATTGACAAAATGGATTAAGCCTTGTTAATATCAGTGTTATACTAAATTTTTTTTATTGATTGAAGACTGAAGACCACCTCTAGAACCAGCAATTATCAAGTGCTTACAATACATAGTTAAATAAAGTAATTTACAGGTGCTGTGTTGCAAGTCTTACCTTATCTTTGTTAGCATATACTTGCTTGTTCATAGCATTAATTTTCTCATGGGTATCATTCCTAATTTTCAGTGCGATGTCATCTTGAGATCCCAGGTGCTAAAAAATAAATAAATGTTAGGCATTGCAATATAGGTAGAAAACTAAACAATCTAATGGCTATTTTGGCTTCTGAGTGTGCCTTATAACTTTCATGGATTCCACGAGTGCTAAAATAGTAAACACACATTAGTAAATCGGTAAAGCCACATCTGAGTCTTCTGAAGTGTAGCAGTATGGGTTAAATTGACTGTTCAATGCCATTATGCTTTGGGAAACCTTGTAATTAACATGTCCAGAGCTCCCTATTATAATGTACAAGGCTGGTAAACTAACTTAATTCTGCAGTATACTTATATGGAATTAAGTTTAGAAAGTTTAGTTCTGTGCATTATCCTCAATGTATATAACTTAACTGTTATTTGTCATCAGTTTTAGAATGGCTACATACAGTACGTGCTCACAACAGGTGTGATCCCTTTTATGTTAATGGAAGAATCTATTCTTGAATTCTTGGGGTTTAAATGTCAATTTTCACTCAAGAATTGGAGAAGTAATATTTAATGGTTTCTGAGATGCAGAACTAGCTGCATATCTAGCATCAAAATGAGTACAGTACTGTAGCCTATTGGTGAACATTTTGTAATGAGAATTGGAAATAGCCTCACTCAAGTAATTAATCAATTGTTCATTACTTCACAACCCCATGTAATCATCAAAAGAAGGCCCCATCCATGTCATGGAATATTCAGAAAGTCCATAACCTGAAAACAATATATAATACACCTACATAGACAGCAATAGGTCACATGTGAAATACTGTACTTAAGTCCATTTTACCTTATTTCAAAATTGGTGGGCATGTTTTAATCTTGTTTCTAAATTATCAAAGGGCATAAGCCTGGAATACTATTTAGCATCATCCATGATGCAAAATAGTCAAATTGTTCAGAATCTCATGCAAGCTGCCAATATGAGATCAATAAAAAGATAAGGAATGCAAATGGTATCATTCACCAAGATAGTGTGGAACAAATGCCTAACAGGGACATAGGGAAAGCAAGATTTCCGAGTTTGAAAATTAGGACAATATACTATGAGGGTGTGTGCGACAGAGACAATGCAATTACGACAATAAGGCAGTCTGTTCCATCAAGTGCGCATAAGTGCATATGGCCAATATGCAGCTCTGTCAGTTGTTTCCCCACCTAATACAGCAGTGGTGGCAAAGCCATAGGAATAGGTCACATTTATCCACTGTGAAATGCTTCCAGCTCCTAATATATATATACAATATATATAATTGTTTGCTCTTCATTTGATACAGTACAAATATAATCACCTTTGCTTCATATTCCTTAAACTGTCTCTCTCTCTCTTGTCTAAATTTTTCTATTTCAGCTTGGGCCTCATCTTTAGCCTGCTTCAGTCGCCGTGCCTTACCTGTTTTTAAAATATAATAAACATTAACAACAAATTAGGTTAAAACAATACAAGTTCTAAACTTGGAAGAAGTCTGGCTAAGTCAGTCAGTTCACAAACAATAACAAAATTACTGGTGTCCCAAGTAATAAAAAGTAGCACAACAATATTTTGTAATAATTGAAAAGTATCCAAGATTAAACCAGAATCTAAAAAATATTAACAAAGTTATGTTGCATAAAGAGATCGATCATCTCGGTGCCTAGCTTAGTGAGATAACACTTATCCTATCTAGTAATAACACAAGGTAGCTGGTACCCACTACAGTACATATTAGTAGCTCAAAATCCAAATATTCAAGAACCTAAAACCGATTCCAAAATTCCCTTCACCTGGGCTCTAGGAGACTAACTGTATTACGGTTCTACTAAATAGCTTGGTCAATAGAGCTTCGGCCTTACACAAGTGGGGTACAGGGTTTAAGTCTCCTAGAGCCCACATGAATGGAATGTTTATTTCCACGAAAGTGTGGATGACAATTTATACGCCTCTAAAATGTTGCTTGTATTATGGTAACTATGGAATGTTAATAAGTTTTTTATTTATTTATTTATATATACTGTTACTGTACAAGAGTTCTTATATTCTTGTACAGCCACTAGCACGCATGGCATTTCAGTCAAGTCAATAATCCTATGTTCCCTGGAATACGACACGTCAAATTATTTAACAACCAGGTACTCATTTTACTGTTGGGTAAACAGAGGCTACAGTTAAGGATTGACGCTAAGTAAATCCTCCCCAGCCAGGATACAAACCCAGGACAAAGCTCACGCGAAACGCCAGGCGAGTGTCTTACCACTACACCACGGGGACTGCTAAGTAGCAAAGTGTGTGTGTTTAACCACTGAACTGCGCAACGCACTTGCAGGCACTCGACGGGGGGAGGGGGGTGCATAACCTGTCTCCGGGATCTTATAGGTATAGCGTACCATTCAAAACTCCCGCGGCTTCATGGGGTTCACATCAGATCTCTCAGATCTCTTGTAAACAGACACCATTTAAAAAAAAATGTGGGCAACATTCCCGGGTGTGAGAGCCTCAGTACTGAGTGAGCTACCAAGGCTGGCACACAAAGCATGAGCTCACAGTACTGCTGTTCTGCTTGTGACCACAGAATTGCCTAATAATGTCTAAATATATATGTAACTGGTATTATTTAGCCATGAAAGTATTACAGAAGAGCCCGAGTGTGATAATGACTGTGTACAATGTTCACATATCAGTGAATCAATGCTGTTCATGATGTTCACAGCGCTAGCCACAGCATTATTTCGTCCATCTAGGAAACTTCAAACAACAACATATGTTCTTTTACAAAATAAACATGTGGTCAATTATTCTTTACAGGATTTGGTGACCAGGATTGTGATAATAGCAGGATTGTGGTGATAATTAGTGCTGTGAATAATATTGTGGGAGGAGGAATTTTGGTGAGGGAGGGAGGGGAATCGAGGTAGCGTCACTGTGTGGCAGCCACTCTGTTTTGCTCACCATACTAACTTAGAGGTTCGCTATGGTGATCATATATGTACATGGGTATATACAATGTGTGTACTGTATATAGTGTAATAACAGCAACAGGAGTATGTTGGGTGGAGTCATTTTGGTGAGAAGTGGCGTCGTACTTGTATGGCCAATTTAATATGAATCAAGTTAAAAATAATTTCATAGATTTTATAGTTTTATATACATGGAGACATTTACATCACCCAAGCCACCAAGACATTCTAGCTGGAATTCACTACATTAACCTTCTAGTAGTTTGGCACTAAATTCTAGCTCTCACAACTCGTCCCACATTTATAATACTGTACTGTACAAAGTAATGCAGTACGAGATGTAATAAAAATAAACTTCATACCAAATGTGGCTAGACCACAGCCCCCAGATTTTGTTTTTAATAATTACTTATTAATATTGGGCGACATAATAATGCAGTAACACAACCTGGCTAGAGGCATACTGGTTAACCAGGCTCCCCACCCCCGCCCCCCCTTCCATGATTACAAATGTTGGTGTAAACTTATCATGAGATGCACAATTATTCTGTAGAAACTATGTTTATAATACGTTTAAATAACCATACAGAGCATCCCTACAACTATTGATCCACTCAGAGAAGTCCTGACAACGACCTCTGTGTCAGTCAGTCGATAGTCTGCTCCCAAAATATACAACTGAACAATTTCCTGTGAACTAACAAAGTACTGGGATGTAATTGCTTACGTTTCCTAGCTTCAGCAACCCTTTCAGCTGCCTTTTTCTCGGCAGCGAGAAGTTGCTGGACACCTTGCGACTGGCTGGCCATGGTTCTCGTGAGTGAGTGAGGCCGCGCCCTCCACCTCACTCTCAGGACCAAATGTTTCTATCTATATTTATTAATTGTGCACTGTAAACACAATTTTTTGAATATACATAACTTTAGTTAACATATTTAATATTTATACAAATATAATTTGAAGCTTAAAGTTAAATACTCAATACAAATAATATAATGTAAGATATTAAACAGATATATATTTTTGTGTAAAGAAAGCATAATTATTATTTTAAGTTGACCCAAAATTATTTGTATATATTTTTCTTCTTATATTATATAAATTTATTACCAATTTCAATGTAATCCCTTAAAATATTATTTACTCCTGGAGAACGTTGGGGACATCAGAAGAGGCATATGACAATCATATGATCAGGAACATGAAGCGAAAACCCAGTATTTGGTTCCATTTTAGGACTTATAATATTTCACAAATCATTTTTACCTTAAATGACCTATACATTTTAGTTAAAATATGTCAGAAATTATTATGCAAGTTCATATTATGCAAGTTTAACTCATAAATACTACTGGTAGTATCTTTCAGGATCGACGCGGGATCGAAAATATCAGTTGTTGTTTGGGAAATATCCATTCTACATATACTAAACTAACTAGCTAACTACATATAATAACGATATATTATTGTTGGAAACAGTTATCATCGGAGTTAGTTTGTCGAGGGACCCCCTAGCCAAAGTCTAGGCTATATGCTCGATCACCTTAACCTGACTGAAGAAGGCCTAACGAAGCAGGCTGCGTCGTCGGCTCACAACCAAGGGTAGGTAATAGTACTAGTAGACACCGAGGAGTTAGACAACTGTTGTGAATTGCATCCTGGGAAAAGTCTATCAGTAGTTGACCAAGGGCCGGGGACTTCGATAAGCCTTAGTACAGGTTTCGAGAGGGAAACCCGTATTTCCTGTGCGGGGTATGGTCGCTTCGGACACGAGATTTGATTCGACGAAGTTCGTTTTCTGCTTGTTGAAACCGTATATATTGTTATCTAGGATGTATTAGCATAAAATTTCATAATATAACACTCTTAACTACTTCCCAATTTCCTTCTATCACTTCTCCCCCATTCTCTTCCCCCTCTCCACCTTTCACCCCTCCCCTATCTCCCGTCACAGAAGACGGCAGGAAGAACCGCACGTCTATGGGTCATCCAATAATGTTAGCAGACTTCTAGATATTACCACTGCTAGGCTTAGGCTCGGCTACAAGTACCTCTGGGAATTTGTAACATCTGCTGATGTAGATTTGACTAAATATAAACTCTGTCAGCAGAACTATTCGCATACTTTGCGTCATTATATAATGGAATGTGAACAAATCGCGGAATTTAGAGATAACACCATCAATAGTGTCCAAGAAATGTGTAAGTACTTCATTCATAATGATGTGCTGCCCGAAATCTTAGCGAAGTATCCAAAATTTGCTTACTGTAGGTAATGCATGCACATGACTGTAAAGCTGCCGCCCAGTTGGGTGGGTGTGGAGCAAGACTAGTAACTGTGTGACTCACCATAGATGTAAAGTGCCTTGTATAGTGACTGTTGTGAGCCTCTTGTTGATCACTTGTGACACAAAAGATTATTGATGTGTGTATTTGTGTGGGTGATTAGATATGTATGTGTATGTATATATGTATACGTATATATATAGAAAATAGTTAGAGGGATAGAAGCCCTAAACCAGAAGATAGTAAATACTGAATATGTGGTCATATTCAATGAGACATGTTTAAAAGAAAACCTGCTGCCAGTATACACCAGTATATATATATATATATATATATATATATATATATATATATATATATATATATATATATATATATATATATATATATATATATATATATATATATATATATATATATATATATATATATATATATATATATATATATATATATATATATATATATATATATATATACATGTATGTATGTATGAGAATGTGTACATGTATATACAACATTAATAATTTTGTAACTAGTGTCAAAAATTGTTATTTGCTTAGCTAAACGAACTAGAGGGTTCAGTTCCGATTATGTGCCTCTGTAATCCTTTACACCACCGCCTAGGGGATGGGTATGGGGTGCATAATAAAGAAAGAAATTGGCACACATATATGTTTACCATTTCGGATACGAAATTTGTACATATACGGCATAGACGACGTTCGTATATATACAAATACAAATATTTATTCAGGTAAAATACATACATACAAGGTGAGATACAAAAGTTGATGGATTTATAGATAGAGCTAGTACATACAATGCCTAAAGCCACTATTACGCAAAGCGTTTCGGGCAGGAACAACACTAAGACTAAAACTTAATACTAGTTGAGATTAAAGTATAAATTGTGTTGAGAAAAAATAAGAAAAAAAATGAAAAAGGGGGGGGGGGAACATGGCAGAAAAAAAGCAAAAATACAGTTTGGTCAACAAACATCATTGTTTAAAATCGTAGACATGGGTTGACATTTAGGGGTGAGGTAGGTTACATTGAGTTAATTAGGTAGCACTTAGTTTTTATCTTAAACTGGTTGCGAGATGTACAGTCTTTAACATAATTAAGAAGGTCATTCCACATTCGAGGTCCCTTGATTTGTAAAGTATTTCTAGTTTGACTAAGTCGTACTCTTGGAATATCAAATAGGTATTTGTTTCTGGTGTGATGCTCATGTGATCTGTTACAACCTTCTAGGAAGCTTTTAAGGTCAGGATTGACATTGAAGTTCAGCGTTTTATATATATATAGAATACACATGAGAGGATGTGCAGTGATTTAATATCTAACATATTCAGAGATTTGAGTAAGGGTACTGAGTGATGTCTGGGGCCAGAGTTAGATATTGTCCTAATAGCAGCTTTGTGTTGAGTAATTAGAGGACATAAATGATTTTGGGTAGTAGAACCCCAAGCACAAATACCATAGTTGAGATAAGCATAGATGAGAGAGTAATAGAGTGTCACCAGAGCAGGGCGAGGTACATAATATCTGATCCTAGAAAGAATGCCAACAGTGTTTGAAACTTTTTTGATATATTTAGAATGTGTCCCTGGAAATTCAGCTTGCGGTCAATGAGAACGCCAAGGAATTTGCCATCTACTTTGTTACAAATTGGGGTATTGTTAATCCTGAGATTTATTTCATTTGAGGATTTATTGCCAAACAAAATATAGATAGTTTTGTCAATATTGAGGGTGAGTTTGTTGGCAATAGCCAAAGATGGACTTTATTTAGCTCAGTATTCACTGTGACATTTAGAGCAAGGGGGTCAGGACTGGAGTAAATGAAGGTCGTGTCTTCAGCAATTAGAATTGGTTTGAGATGTTGGGAGGCATTTGGAAGGTCATTAATGTAGATGAGAAAGAGGAGAGGGCCAAGCATACTGCCATGAGGAACACCAATGTTGATGGGTAGGGTGGGAGAAATTGAATTATTCACAGAAACATATTGGAGCCTGTCAGTAAGGTAAGACTTAAGGTATTGCAGGGAGTGACCTCTGACTCCATAATGTTGTAATTTAAGAAGAAGGTTTTGGTGGTTGACAGTGTCAAAAGTCTTACGCAGGTCCACAAATAACCCAATAGGGAACTCATTTTTATCAAGAGCTGCAGTTAGTTTAGTTCATTTATTATGCACCCCATACCCATCTTGTGGGCGGTAGTGGAAAGGGTTACAGAGGCACATAATGGGCTCAGGGACTGAACCCCACAATTCATTTAGCTAAGCAAGTTACAATCTTGATGAGCTAGTTACAAAATTCAATATAAGTCATCACATCAACAATGGGTTCGAGATCGACCTCAAGTACAGGTTCTAAATTAAGCAACTGACATGTGGAGAGCTAGTGTCAAAATTTATATGTTTGTCCTGCACACCGCCCCCCATCCAGTGGGCAGCGGTGGATAGGTTACAATCACTTAGTTACTACCTACAGTTAGCAAACTGGGGATATTTGGCTAAAATTTCTGGTAGCAGATCATTTTGAATGAAATATTGACACATCGCTGGAACATTGGTTATAGAATTGTCTCTAAATTCACGTATCTTTTCGCACTCCATCACATAGTGACGGAGAGTGTGCGAATAATTTTGTTGACACAGTTTACATTTGGTCAGGTCTACATCAGCAGATAATGAGAATTCCCAGAGATACTTGTAACCGAGTCTAAGCCAAGCAGTAGTAACATCTAGAAGTCTGCTGATTTTATTGGATGATCCATAGATGTGTGGCTCCTCTTGCATGATAGTATGATGATAGATGGAATTACTGGTGTCAATTTCACTTTGCCTCAGATCTACAAGATCTTGTTGAAGTTCTCGGTGTACTGCTGCTCTCAGATTGCTCATTGACAATCCAAGGTTACACTCAACGGCTCCTTTAAAGGCAGATTCTTTGGCTAACTTATCAGCTCTATCATGCATTCGGAGGCCAACATGAGATGGAGACCACATGAAATGGACTCTGTTACCATCCTTAATAATTTTGATGTATTTGTGTCTAGCTTCGGACACGAGCATGTTACAGTTATGTCTTAAAGAGTTGAGAGCATTTAAGGATGATAAGGAGTCACTTACAATTAATGTATCAAGTTTTGAGACTTGTACACATTTCAGTGCAAGGATCAAGGCAAATAGTTCAGTCTGAAGGGTAGAGGCCCAGTTGTTTATACGGACTCCCCACTCAAAGTATAGGCCATCGCCCATTGTCAGGACAACTGCACTTCCAGCTGCACCCGTGGTGCGGTGTAGGGAACCATCAGTGTATATAATTTGAGAGAGAGAATGCTCTGTGGACAGAGCATCAATATGGCTTAAGGCGTTGAGCTTTGCCTCAAGACGAAGCTTGGGCTGATCTCTAATTTGCTTCTTGGGTGGAAAGGGAGGGATGAAAACTGGAAAGGGTGTAACCTCCCACGGTGTAGGAAAGTGCCGTTGTTGTTTCTCTTGGTACAAATCATGAACCCCATACATTCTGAGTTGAGTTCCAGTTTTTGTTATCCATTTGGAACAATGCTGATCTTCA